CACATAATACAATTATTACTCCCTCCTTCTGTAGAAGATGAGGTCATATGAGAGATCTAGGATTTCAGTTGGGTGGGAAATCATTAATCACTCTTCCTACACAAATCACAGATCTCAATAATTTAATATATACAGTCCTTCAGGGTTGCTGTGGCTGAAAAATTGAACACCCTGAAGCCACACTGAAAAGTTTCTATGACTTTAGCTAGGATTCTTGGATAAGAGACCATAAAGGCTCATACTCAAAGCCTTTCCACTTTTGGAGGACCTGTAAGAACTCTAATTCTTCACAGTTCTAGCTACACATACACACACTCATGGCAACAGACTAGGACTTTGTTGGAGGAAAAAAAGATTTAATCATCAGAATGAATTTCTCTAGATGTAACTGGGGAAGGGAGGAAGGGCTTGATTTCTGCAATTTAATATGACTAAGAACACAATTTAAACCAATGGTGGTTATTATGGATCAGATATTCAATATCCAAGTAACACTAAAGGTTAGATAAACTACATGGATGCTCTGATTCAATTCAGTCAAATCAAACATTGACTGAATACCAATTATGTTAAAGATACTATTCTAGACACTGAGATGGATACAAATATAAATAAGCTATTACACTTATTCCTTAAAGAGCTTAAATCAAGTAGGAAAGCCATGTACAAGTATCAAATGTTCAAAACAAATTAAAATAAAAGAGTTTTAAAAAAAACCCAGCAAATCCAGAGGCAGGAGAGTTCATATCTGGATTGGAAGAGGGCTACTATAGCAAGTTTCATAGAGAAACTAACATTTGAGTTGGGTTCACAAAGACAGGCAAGATTTAAACAAGGAGGAGATGAGGAGAATGAGGGATAAGAATTCCAGGCATATTAAACAAGATGACTATAATCACAGAGGAGAAAGAATATGAGATACGTTCAAGAAGAGTGTGTATAAAAGGATTCTCTAATTTAATGGAGTATATGCATTTAGAAATAATGTGAATACAGAGAAATATGGAGATTTGCTCTGATGCAAAGTGAAATAAAGCAGGGCACAAACACACACACACCACACACAACACACACACACACACACACACACACACAGAATGAGGTAAATGGAAAAAAACAACCATAAAACAATCAAAAGTGAATACAGCAAAAGAATACGCATAGCTCCAAGGAAGAGATAAGAGAAAACCACCCACCCTACTTATTTGCAGAGATGGAAGGTCCACAGGTATGGTATATTGCATATAGGTACGGTACATTGCATATATTTTTGGATATTCTGGATGCACTGATTAGTTTTGCTGATTGTTGTTGGTCTGTTCTTTCTCTTTTTTCCTTAGAACACTACTTGTTATTTGGGATGGAGCTCTGGGAGGGGAGGGGGAGTAAGAAAGCTGGGAGAAATTCTGGAGATAATAAAAAACAAAAGATGAATAAAACTATATTTAAAAGAAATGACCAAGAAAATAGATTCAGACCAATCTGGGAAAATCTTTAAGAAATGATACAGAGTGACTGAACCAAGAAAACAATTTATATAATAACTAAAAAATTAAAAAGGAAAACAACTTTGTAAGAACAATGTCAATTCCAGAAGACAGAAGAGGAAACATACCTTGAACTTTTTGACTAAAAAGTGATGAACCAGAGTTAAGAATGAAATATACAATTTCTGACACAATCAATGCATAGCTTTTTTGGTTTGATCTGAATTATTTATTACAAAAAAATTAATTTTGTTTTTTGAATTCTTATCATTTAGGAAGAGTTTTAAGGACAGAAAGAATAAGACTGATACCAAAAAAAGGGAAGAAAAGAGAACTAACAAAACGTAAAATACATAGAAGAGAGCAGTTGTCACAGAAAGAGACAAATCAATATAAAATAAATAAATATAAAAACACATATCAGGAAGTACACAATTAAGTTAATAGTATCATATGCAATTCTTTTTCTTTGTGCATAGAAATAATCCTATTTATTGATGTTTATTAAGTTCATTATAAAAAAATGAAAAGGAGAAAAAATGAAGGCTAAGTATTAAAGTTATCCACGTGTATAAAAACATGATGTGTACAAATAAGGTACACATTCACTGACTCCAAAAAATCATGAGAGGGAACTCCTCTTGCCCTTAAAAGAGGAAAATTAAGAGTAAATAAGGAAATGAAGATGTGTTAAAAAAATTATAACTGTGCAATTATTTATCCCAAGAGAACATTTATGTTCAAAACATAACTTCAAATACAGAATTCTTAGGTAATAGCACCTTATACAGAGTGCTAATTAAATTAAGGAAAACTAAAGAATTCTAGAGGACTTCTTTACCTTCTAAAATTATGCTTAATACCTAGAGCAAGGATTCTTAATAAACTTTTTTATGTTATGGACCTGACCCTTACATCTCACCCCCACCCCTGCCCCCAGCAGTCAGGTAAAGCCTATGGACCCTTTCTCAGAATAACAGACAGGTAGGCAGCACAGGAGATACAGTGCAAGGCCTGGCTGGACTCAAGAAGACCCAAATTCAAATCTAGACTTGGACACTTACTGTGTGTCCTTAGCACAATGCCTAGCACACAGGAACTAAATAAATATTTATTGACTATTGTTGTTGTTGTTGTTATTATTGACTTTGGACAAGTCACTTATTTTTTCTCCCAGTTTCCTCAACTATAAAATGGGGAAAATAGTAACACCTACCTCCTAGAGTTACTGTGAAGGTCAAATGAGATTATATTTGTAAAGCACACAGCACAGTGCTTGGTATATAGTAGATGCTATATAAATGCATTATTATTATCATCATCATCATTGTTGCTGTTGTTGCGTACATAAAATAAAATACATAAGATTATAAAGTAAGCTAATTATATTGAAAGTTATGAAAATATTTTTAAAAAAGCAAATTCACAGATCTAAAATTTATCCATAGAACTCAAGAGACTGCAGACTAAGAACCCTTTACCTAGAGGTGCAAGCATACTGCCCTTCAATAGCCCTCGGGGTATAATTATTAAAGACAGAATACCATGCCAATCCAAAAATATTTAATTAAGTTCTGACCATGAAAGATGCTGTGGAAGGGATTGGTATGCTAAAGACCAATTAGCTTAGAAGGGTGCTAAAATTAGAAGGAATTCTAAGAAACTATAAACTATAATAATAAATTCACTATGGAAAAAATATGATGCAATGGTACTAGGAACAGATACTCTACTTAATTTACCTCAAAGAAGTAAAAATAGGTTATTTCAATCAATAAATATAAAAAATACACCTATCAAAAATATTACAAAGCACCCACCTATGCTTAACTTCTACTTGGCAATGGACAAATCCGGTAGAAAACCTACCCTCAAGGAGTTTATAATGTGATTTGTTATTAGTATTGAGAATAATATATAGTTGTTCTATATGGGGATAAGAATGGGGTGGGGATGAGATCCCATTACTGCTGAGAGTTTTTGATCCATCAATCCCTCAGGAGGTTAAAGACAGGTCCTGAGTATAACAAAATATTGTTATCAGTATTTTGTGGTTGAAATATTCATATCAGCAGTTTTTGTGGCAGCAAAATATCTGAAACAAAGTGGATGACCATCCATTGAGGGACGGCTGAACTAACTGTCACACACGAATGGGAAGTCTATGTGAACTGAAGAAGCAGAGAAAAGAGAACTAGGCCAGGATAACAATGAACAAAATGAAAAAAAAATGCTGAACAATAGAGACTCAACTCATTCTGGCCTGGAGATGATGAAACACACTTTCCACTTTGCAACAACAAAGGAGTCAGGGACACAGAATGCTGGATATATTATCAGACATAATCCCTTTGTTCTGTTTTGCTGAATTTTTTCCCTTTGTTACAAAATAGAGTTCAAGTGAGGTTCAAAACACACTTGATGAAATCATGTCAAAACGGCAAAGTTGGCTACAATTTACTGAATACTGTCATCTTGAATGCTACTTTATCAATCACGCATCTTTTATTTGGTGAAACAGTGAACATTTAGTCCACAATAAGGACTGTGGAGTTGACGGTCTCTCCCACTGCTTATAATCAATTCTACTAAATATCTCTTGAATTTATTAAGGAATCTGCTACATTAGACTGGTAGAAGAGATGTCAACATGCACCCCACATTTACATGTATATGATCATACCTATATAACCTAGATAAATATACGTATTCACATGCACAGGATATACCAAAATTCTTCAGGCAAAAGTTTTAACCTTTTTTAAGTTTTTAAATTTTAAGTTTAAGCTAAGGTTTTAAAATCAGTAAAGTTTTATGTTTTAATAGTTTAAAATTCAGCTAAGACTTGAGACACTCTGTATGTGCAAACAAAACAAAACAAAAACTTATATAGTATTTTAAAGTTTATAAAGTCCTTTACACCAGGCAAAGGAGGCTAGAGTGGGTCATAAATGATAAAATGAACAATGGTTATGACATAAAATTGAAAAATTTTGACCAAAAAATTTAATGCAGCCAAGATGAAAAGGTAATTAAATGAGAAAAGGTTTTTTGCTTGAAAATTCTTTGATAAAGATCTGATATACAAGATATATAAAAAACCTGATTCAAATACATAAGAATGACAGCCATTTCTTAATAGAAAAATGGTGAAAGGATAGGTAGTTTTCAAAAGAAAACCATACAAAGATTTTTACATAAATTATCTAGTTGGATCATCCCAACAAGTCTGAGGGATATCTATTACAGGTCTTATTATTCCCAGATAAAGAAAAAGTGGCCTATAGAGGCATAAGCTGACTTTCTCTTGTGATATATTCACTGAGTCTGAAGAGAGAGGAACTGATTAAACCTAGGTTTCTTTTGAATACAAGTCCAGTATGTGCCCCACAAATTGCTTCTCTATAGCAAAACAAATTTTGGGTAAATCCCTCCTATCTGCTGGGCTTTATGGCTCCTTTCAGTTCCAATTTTCTTTGACTGTGAATATCAACATTAAAAAGGAACTAATACCTGTTTAGAAAGCACTTTCATATAGCCCACACTTCCTCGACAGTAAGCTTCAAGTATTACACCAAATTGTACTGAAAAGGCAGGAATGTGTACTTCTGACCTAAAGAGATTCAATAAGAAAATGATTCATTTATCAACATGCATATTATATTGTCAAAAATATATGACTTCGTTAAATTGAAATTAAATTGTAAGGACAGCATTCAAAGTCAAGTCAAAATACTGTGAACAAAAATCCCAAAATATTCAATTTCCCATTTCGTTTCTGAGAACATTTCAGTTAAGTATTTGACAAAGCTCTTTAAGTGATGGAGGAAAAAAAAATCAACTTTTCTCTCCACAAATCAATAGGAAAACAACTGATGCACACTCACATAGGCACACAAAATCATAAAAATCCAACATATTATTAAATCACAACAAGTACAATGGTTGAACACTGAATATGATCTCATGTGCACATCCCTTTTCAGGAAACTTTACTTTTCGTTAATCAAACATTAAGAAGCATAGCCAAAAGACCAAAAATAAAAAATTCTGCTTATATGTATTAATTTCTTTACAACCTACCATACAAGAGTATAGAGAATTCAAATCAATAGTATGAACGGCTATAATTCTAAAAGAATAAGAGTACACTGAAGTAGAGATGAAATCTTATAGAATAAAATGTCTCAAGCAGAATATGATGTACCTCAAAAGACTAAGCACAATTTTAAACTACTAAGATATTAAAGTTTAAGCTGTACTGACTTACGGAATCCCCTTTCATTCTAAAATTAGTCACACATGCTGATTTATCACGCAGGATAATTTCACAAGAGCACAAACCACCCCCTCCACCCCCCACCAAAATTGTTTTTAACTAAAAACTACTTACCTAAGATGCCAAAATAGAAACTGCCCTATCCTCCTATTAGCAAGTGCTCTGTCTAACATGAATCTAGATAGGGCACAATCAAGAAAAGGTTCGTATTTCAAAACTTGTACAAGTTGTAGGAGGTACTGAGATAGTTCTTCGTCACTGAAATAGAAGGAAGACTGAGTCAAATGCAAATATCTATGAACAACAGAAAAGGGTTTTTTGTAGAAATACAAGTTTTGCAAGGAGCTAAAATTAACTTATCAAAAATGAAAGGAACATTTTGAATTACATGATAAATAGGAAATGTAGGATTATTAAATGTCTTACGATGGTTTCTACCTGGCTAATCAATTATATCTAAATTAAATTATACACACAAATAAATTGTTATAAAGGACAGAATGTCCCAATATGCACTTACTGATGGATTCAGAATTGAGGCTAGACAGCAAGAAAAAATTTTTTTATTATTCTTTTTCTTATTATCCCTTGACTTTCAAGTCAAAACAGGATTACTGGTTCTCACGGCTCCTGAAATCAATGAACCATCTATTGCTTCTCTGCCTGAGCACAGTCTGACCAACAAAGCTGGAAAATACTACTGCCTACTCTTCCCATTATGAAATCTCTATATTCCTTCAAGGCTCACAGCTAGCAAATCCTATTTATGTACCAGCTTGATTCTGTGATTATTAGTATTCTTTACCTCCACAAATTATGACATATATTTATTTACTTAAGTGACTGTATATACTATCCCCCCCCCCAGTAAAGAGTAATCTGTTTGAGGGCAGGGAATTGTTTTATTTTTGTCTTTCTTTTCCCTATTACTTAGAATGGGATACTATCTAGAACAAGATATCTAGAACTTTATTATTGAAGTGAACTGAATCACTTTATATAGTTATCTACTATAGGGCTGAATAAAATTTAATACTTAGAGAAAAGTGTTAACTACACTGAAAGCGAGGCACTCATGAAAATCAAAGAATCTTTTGCTCCAGATGTAAATTCTATCCTTATAAAACAATCATCTCTCAGTTCATCCAATTTTATAAAAATATGTAGCTAAGATAATCAGAACAAAGTTAAAATTTGTCTGAAGTCTTTCGGAAGTTGGTCAATAAACATATCAACAAGCGTTTCTTAAGTGATTAGTATGTGCCATGCACAATACCAGGCATCAGAGACAAAAATAAATAGTAAAATATTGGCTGGCTTCAAGGTTCTTACATTCTATAGGGTAAGAAAACATGTATGTACACAACACATACAAACACACAATAAATAAATGGGGGAGGGAGGGAGATGCTATCTGGGAGAATGAAGAAGGCTTCAAGTAAAACATGGCACTCGAATTAAACTCTGAAGGAATCTAGAGGCTCTAAGTGGCAAAGATAAGGGAAGAATGTATTCAGGAATGGGGGACATTCAGTTCAAAGATCAGGAGATGGGACATAGGGTATTCATGTACAAGGAACAAGAAGAAGTCCAATTTGGTTGGAATGTAGAGTCTTCGGTAAGGAATAATATGCAACAAGCCTGAAAGGCAGGTGGTGGTCAGATTGTAAAGGCCTTTAGGTATTAAGGGATTTACACTTGACCTAAGAGGTAATAATAGCCAGTAAAAGACAGTTGCTAGAGCTACTAAGTAGGGAATAAAAGGATAACTGGATTTTATGAAAACCCACTTTGGAAGCTGTGTAAAAGATGAATAAGAATGCGGAGAACTTGTGGCAAGGAGATTAGTTAAGAGGCTGAAATACTCAAGGAGGGAGGTGAGGTGGGCCTGAACTAGAGCAGTAGTTGTATAAATAGAAAGAAAGGAACAGATATAAGAAATGTTGAAGAGCTCAAAATGACAAGATCTGTCATCTGTAGAAAAGAAAAAAGGATTGGGTGTGAGAGATAAATAAGAATGAGGAGTTGAGGCTTCAAACCTAGGCTAATAGAAGGAGGGTAGTACTCACAAAAGTAGGGAAATTCAGAAGACGGATAGGTTTTGGAAGAAAGATAACGAATTCTCTTTTGGACAGGCTGGATTTGAGTTGACAAGGGGAAATGAATTCAAATTGTCCAATAAGCAGTTAGTGATGTGTGACTGGATCTCAGGAGAGGACCAGGGATTAAAAAGATTGGCTATATACAGATTTAGGAGCCATCTACATGGAGATGATGATTAAACCCAACGGCATTAATGTGGTCACTAAGAGAGAGGGGTTAATAGGAAAATATGAATAGTTTATAACTGGGTATTCAACTGCATAATTTCAACACTGAACAATAATAACTAAAACAAAATCCCATTCATTTGGAGTCAACTAATTGGTAATATGAAATATGACGGGGCAAGAATGGAGTTTATATTTATTTAGCAAATCCTTTAGATTTAATTCAGAGCAAATCAAGAGTATAAATATGACCTTAAAGTAAAGTTTAAAATACAAGAGACTATAACATTTTAAAAAGATTAAGAATCTAGCAGACTTACATATACCTGATTTGCTTATTATAAATCATTAAAGCAAATTCCTTAAAGACATGTACTACTTAGTGTATTCTGAGTTACTAAATGTAAATGGAAGTAATAGAATGTCATTTCTTCTAAAATTTTTAATTTCAGGTGTTGTTTCTTTTCCCTTGTCTCAAAATTCTTGGTTATAATTTACCAGTTCACTTTGAATCTTTAAAAATCTGGCTAATTAAAATGATGGCAGCAATGTATTTGTCCCAGGAAATTTTGATGACTTGTCTTTTTTCTCTTTGGCAAAATTTAATTTAAAAAAAAAGTATTCCAAGTGGATTCAGTCAGCAACACTAAGGTAAACTGAAAAACTATGTGATGTATATCTTAAAGTATTTAGTGAATAAATATGAATGTTTAAAATTATCTAGTTTAGTGTTTAGCACTCAAAAATAAAGGATGATGAAGATGGAAAGAGTGTAATAATGTGGCAAGTAAAGAAGTCAAATTGATTACTGAGCTAAATCAATTAACCAAAGAGTGAAAACAAAGTGAAACATCAGATTAAGGGTCATATAAATGTTTGAATAATACTAGTATTCAATACTAATAATACTAGCAATACTAATAATACTAGTATGAATAATACTGACCTCCAATTGTACTACTGTACTATTCCCTGGCTACACTGATGGAAAATTGCAAGCAAAAAATTTGTTGAATTTTAGAAAATAAAATTTAGCTATGGAAGTAGTCCATCACATACAATAGGTATGCATAGGTATAGGAGATAAAGACATTAGATACAGAAACACTTGACCTGCTTTGTGGCTCAATCAGCTTCTTTTATCTTATGTGCTCGAGAAATTTAATATATGCATAGCACATGTGTGACCAAAGTTAGGTGACTTAACTGAGCAAAGAAATCTCATGACTATACTAAGGGCTCTGAAAAGGAACTAAAACCATTGCCTTGATATCTGGTTCTTTTCTAATAGAAGACTAATAAGTAACATAAGTGTTCTTATTTTGCCAATCACAACAGAAAAAGACAATAAGAAAGTACCTCATTTGTTTCAAGCAGCTCACTGCATACTCTCTTACATACTGGTCTGGATAATTAAAGTCTAATAATTCCAATGCTTCTCTAGGAGGCAGTTTAGGCCATATCTGAAGAAGAGCCTGTAGCTGTTGAAAAATTAAGAATCATTTAGGTGTACTTGTATTTTAAAAACATTGGCCATTTGGAAAACAAAAAGACTGTAGAAAGGAAGACATTTAAAAGCTGGCTCTTGGAAAAGACTAGCAAAATCAATAAATCTTAGCCAACCTAATTTTAAAAAGAGAAAGAGGGAAGAGGAAGGAGGGGGAGAGGAAAAGTAAAGAGAAAGAGAGGGAGAGACCAAAAGCCATTTCCCAACAGATAAATGGTCAAAGGTTATGGACAGTTCTCAAAAGAGGGCTTGCAGACAATATATTAACAACTATATCAGAGAATGCTCTAAATCACTAATAAAAAGAGAAACGCAAATCAAAATAACTCCAGTTTCACCTCACATCTAGCAAACTAACAAAAAACGACAAAAGATGGGAATGGTCAGCTGTGGAGGGGTTGTGGGAAGAGAAAGGGACACTATTGTGAATTGCTGATAAAGCAGTGAAATAATATAATCATTTTGGGGAAAAAATTTAGATTATGGAAATGAAGTGACTAAAACGTCCACACTTTTTGCTCAGAGATTCCACCGCTACGCGTATATTCCAAGGTCACTTGGATGCAATAACAAAGTCCCCACATATATGAAAATGTAATAGCAGCACTTTTGTGGTATAACAGAAATAGAAAAAAAGTAGATGTCCATAAATTGGAAAATGACTAACAATCTGTAGTACTTGAATACTATTGCACTCTAAGAAACTACAAATAAGGTGAACACATGGAAAAACTTAAATGAATTGATGCAAAGTGAAATAAGCAGAGCCAAGAAAACAATATATACAATGACTACAAAAATTAAATGGAAACAACCCTGAAACAAATGAAAATAAACGTTGTAGAATTACATAAAAACAAGCTTGGGCTCAGAGAAGAAATATGAGAAGACACCTTCCCCCAATAATTTTGCATAAGTCCATAGATAATGAATAATGATTATTGGGCTTTTTTGATGTATTGTTTGGCTTTGCTTATTTTTTTTTTCTTCCTCCTTCTCTTTTTCCTCCTTTTAAAAAATATGACTTGTTCCAAGACATGGCTCCGAGGGTAAGGAATAGGGAAAGATAATTTAGTTGATATAAAAACAAAAGATAACAAAATTATATTTAAAATAAATACACTGTAAATAATCATGTGTTTTATCATTAATCTGTGTTTCTTCTTTTCTTTAAAAGGGCATTTGAATTTGTACACCTTTGCAAATAGTGTTTTCCCTAGAAATCTCCATAATGGACAAAATTCCAGCAATATTGAAATTCATTCCTTTGACCACAATTATATTTTTACACCATATTCTGAAGAAGGCATATTATAATACAATATTTTTTTTGGCATAAATACACATCATGTTTCCCTTATTAGGTTTGTCTTTCGTTGATTATTTTCCATTAAAAAGGAAGACTTTTGTAATGGTATATAATTTATACATACCATTAAAAAAACTTCTGCCCTACCTCTTCAAAATCTAAATAATAAATTCATATACTAAGGTTACAAAAGAGTTTTTAAAAAAGATAACACAGGAATCAAATCTGTAAAATTAGAACTACAGGACATCCTAGGTCTCATGCCTTCTAGCTATAAATATATATCACCCAAAGACCCTATCTCTATACTTCTTAAAGAAAACAGATTCCTTCACTAATGTTTCCATGAATCCCTTTTATTTTTTAAACGAAATTGAGCTTGATGGGGTGGGCCCAAAGGGAATCTGGCTCCCTTTTGTCTACAGGCCCCAGCCCCTCATCTCCCTTTGAAAGCCTTAGCCTACCTTTTAATCTCATTCAGATACCTTTCAGTTCCTTCATTATCTATTCCCATTGTCTATTCAATCTCTTAGACATTCCAATCTTAATTCTCACCCAGACTATTTTCCCAGACCCTTCCCTGGTCACCCAAAGTATATAAAATCTAATCTGGCCCCCATTTGGGGCTAAGAATCTCATGCCCAAAAGGCTGAGACTTTCTCATGCCCGCTCATCCTTACAGGCGTAACCTGGCCTATATGTTGTATCACTAATAAACTTTTCCTTTGGCTGGAAGAAGGTTTGAGTTGAATTCTTTCAGGCAGGGCCTGGTACCTCAATCTGGGGGTGTCCCCCAGGAGCACCCCAAAGTCCTAGACCTCTTCGAGCTGAACCATAGTTCTGCTGGCAATAAAATGAGGGATTTGGTATAGATAACCTAAAATTTCCTCCAGATCTAACAGTGTATGACTCAAGTTGAATAATACTAACTACACAAAAGACCAACTCTAATGAGTAAGCTTGAAGAATTGGGATTATATTGGAAGTACAGGCTAAGTTTTAGAGATGTATGCATGCATATATATATATATATATATATCACACACGTAGGGGAGGGAATAAGACAAGATCTCATCTGACTAATATTTGTGATTTGATGGTGTATATTTATAGATTGAGTATAATAACATAAAATTATCTTCTCTGATGCAAATATAAACCAGTAAGTAATAATAATGAGAACCATACAAATGTACCAAATGTAAATTTGTATGTTATTGGCCAACTCAGGTGAAAAGAAAAAAAAAAACAAATAATCTTTGTAGGATGTTAGGCAAAATTGTAAACTTGTCTGTATTTGTGTGTTTTTGAGCCTATTATTTTAATAAATTTTCTACTATAAAAATTATTTTAAATTAACAAATTCCAAATTCAGTATCAGATAAGTAAATGCTTAGTTTAATTATAGTCAGTTAATCAATCAATGAACATATATTAAGTGCTTTATGTGCTAGTCACCGTGCTAAGTGCTGGGGATAAAAAAAAAAAGACAAGACAGTCATTACCTTCAAAAAGCTTAAAATGCAGTGGGGGAGACAACCCGAAAACAAACATGTACAAAGCAAGCTATCTACATGACAATGAGAAAATAATTAAGAGGGGAAAGCACTGGAATTAAGAGGGGTTAGGAAGGCTTCCCACAGAAAGTGGGGTTTTAGTTGTACTTAAAAGAAGTCAGGGAGGCCAGAGTCAAAGCAGAGAAGGGAGAGCATTCCAGGCATGGGGGGCAGCCAGAGAAAATTCCCAAAGCAGAGAAAGATGGACAGGCTTGATCATGGAACAGAGAGGAGGCCAATGCACTGGATTGAAGACAAAGTGTTAGGAAATAAGGTGTAAGAAGACTGGAAGGGGGGGTGGGGAGAGGAGAGGGAGAGAGGGTTATAAAGAACTTTGAATGCCAAATAGAGCATTCTGTATTTGCTCCTCCAGGCAAGAGGATTATTGAGTAGCAAGGGTGACATGACATGACCTGAGCTTTAGGAAAATCACTTTAGAGGCTGAATGGAGAGGGAACTGTAGTGGGGAGAGACTTGACAAGGCAAGCAGACCCATCAACAGGCTACTGCAGCAATCAAGACATAAGTAAAATAAAAATATCCCAATAAATTTCAAAGCAATTAAATAGCCATAAAACATGTACTTATGTTAACAAATTACTTTGATAAATATATGTATAGTACAGATACATGTGTGTATATGTATGCATATACATATGTGTATATATATAGAGATATAGATATAGGAATTTGTTACATAAATAGACATTTTAAAATCATGCAGTTGGACTATAATTAGGAGGCTAGAAAGATCAACTGAGCTTAATGAAACAGCTAATGAAATCAGGAAAGCAGTTAAGTTGCTAAGGTGGATCTTTCCCCCTCCCAAAGCTGAAGAATGGAAACAGTCTTTCTTGATTATTCAGTTAGTTTTAAATCTACCTAAGATACATATTTCAGAGAACTGATGGGAGCAGAAGTGCCAACTACATGTCATGTGCTCTTTAAATTAAAATAACTGACTGAAGACCCAGGGACTTTCCCTCACAAGCTTGAAAATAAAGTGGAGCCCCTCTTGAATTCAACTTAAGAAAATTCACTAGAGACTAACTAAAATTAACTTTAATCAAACCAAATGGTTTACAAGCTGTGAGAGATGGCGTAAAGTGCAATTCCCTGAGGCCTAAACCCTGAGTTGAGTTTCACCTTTCTCAAAAATCCACGACAGCACAGGCAGTTCCTGGTCGCTCCTGCTTCCTGGCGCACATACATCTAGTTCCCAAATATGGGTATGTTTGCTTCTACTGGGTATTAGTTGCTGCGTTTAGATTGTATGCCTTGAGTACCCAGCAACGGGGGAAAGAGGTAAGAGAGTGGGAGGCGGCATGCATTAGGGCAATAAAACTTTGCTTCTCACAGCACTCCCTGGCTGCTGTTGCTTGAGTAGCCACAAGAGCTGTGCCCTTTCTCATGAGAAAGAATAAAGACCTTTTCTGATCTCTGATTTAGACTCCAAACTCTTGATTTCAGTGGTCACTGTCCCACACAAAGCTAAGACATTTTCCCTAAAATATGAGTTTTAAAAACAAATATTTGTGAAATTTAGAATAATCATTGTAATGATGCATATTTTCACCTACCTACTGGGATAAAAATTTAAGCTACAATATTTGCTAAATAATTAGTGATATTACAATCAGCAAATAAATCTTAAAGAGAACCCCAAAGTTATAAATAAAGTGCATAACTAAGGCTATCTCCTTGTTCTGCAAGATTGAGGCAAATTGATGCTTTCAGCAATATTTAGTCAAAGGCTGGAAATCCTATTATTAATGCAGAATTTGCCAACTGCAATTCCTTCTTTTTTTCCCTGTTTCTAATCAACCAATTAACAAACATTTGTTAAGCATCTATCATAAGTAAGACACTGCACTACACCCTGGGATACAAAGAGAAGGAATAAAAGAATTTTTACTCAGGGACAATCTATCTTACTTATTCGGTCCACTCAGGCAGAAGAAAATTGCCTTCTCAAAAATCAAATGAGACATATGTATTATTAAGAGTTACTGGTACTAGTGATTTGGTTGACCTTACCTGAGCAACATCTTCAAGTTTATTCCATTTGACAGACAGCAGCAATTTTGGCAATGACTGTGGAAAATTTTCTCTACAGTCTTGTCTCAAAGTCCAAATAAGATCCATTTCATTTTCACACAGTTGGGATAAGGGATCCCTCTCCATGATTTCTTTGAGCACAGCATGAAATTTTTTTCCACCTCGACTCTAACAAAGTAAAATGTATGAGATTAAATTCAACAATAGTTAAGATTCTTGGTAAAACCTGTTATTTTCTGTCTCTGTGACATTGGGCAAATTGTAGCTTCTCTGGGTCTCGGTTTCCTTATTTGTAAAATGAGGGGATTGAATTATACCCCATCTGTAGTCCCCTTCCAGCTCTAAGTCCTATTGGCCTATGAATATTCAACAAATACAACAGAACTAATCTTTGCTGAATCAAAATTAAGAATTAAGGGTATATTTTATTGTTTTCTATAGAAATAAACAAACATTAATGCATTTATAAAAATTATTTTTAATGGAAATGAGTACCTTGGTTTTTGTTTGAGAACTCAAATCTATAAGCCATGGACAAAGGAAGTTGTAGCCATTAAATAAATAAGCTTTATGCTTAAAAAACAAAACAACACCTCCATACAAAAGCACTAGGTGGCAATATTGCCATTTTCTTCAAAAATGTATAAGCAGAACTATGTCCTCTTCATACCTGGGTACTCTATTCATGTACCATTTTCCCTATCTAAAAGGCAAATATTCAGAAGTTTCCTTTGTTTTATGAAGGGTAGGGGCAGGGCGAAAAGAGCAAACCCAAATAGAGCCAGCCTCTTGGTCTGCTTCTTTATGTTTCAATACATAAAATCTCCAGATGCATAGAATTCAAAATGTAACAGCGTTATCATTTGGCTAACATTAAAATTTTTCCTATTTTTATTCTCAAGATAATGTATTGAAGAAAATGGTACATTTGTTTTATGACCCAAGTTCCATTAAGTTCAGTCTAAGCAACTAAGGTTTACTTTTTACCATATCTGCACATTTTTGGAACATCCTGCTCTAAGTCAAAACCTTATCTTCTTAAATTTTCTTTCCAGGTATCTCTGCCAAAAGAATACAAGGATCTGTACTGTAAGAGAAGACAGCTAAATGGCACAGCAGATAGGGTACTGTATGTACTTAAGAGTCAGGAAGACCTGAGTTCAAATCCTGCCTCAGACACTTAATACCAGTGAGATCCGAACAAGTCATATAATTGCTCTCTGCCTCACTTTCTTCATCTGTAAAGCGGAGATAGTAAAAGTATCTACACCCAGAAAGGTTGTTGAGCTAAAAATGAGACAATATTTACAATCCTTTAAGCACTATATAAATGCTAGCTATTATTAATGTGATTTTTAACCTGGGTTTCATAATAATATGTAAATAAATAAATGAATACTGGCATGTTACTGATCTTTAAACCACTCTGATTTATGATGGCATCTATAGTGAAAGGTTCTTTCGTAAAGGAATTTATAGAGGAGTTTAAAAGTTTTATGTATTAATAACAAGCTTGGTTTGATTAAGAGAATGATTAAAAGAATTAACAGATGGTTTACATCAGAATTACTATTAGCAAATCCTTTTCTGAAGGAAGTGTAAAAATATTTGCCCTGAAAAAATCTGATTAATTCAGTAATGTAGAAATGCCACAGGAAGTATGGGTCAACATGTGATGAATAAGGACATATTAAAATATTAAATACAATTACTGCTCTTTACACCACAGATAAGACCAACAAAAATTAAATGATTAGTAGGTTGTAATATTTCCAGATGAACTATCCAGAGGTAAATCACATGATTTAACACCTCTGCATCCTAGCCTAATGGGCAGGAACAAATACTATCTCAAACTTGGGAACCTTTCAAATTAACAAAGAAACTCTGGAAATGAAGAGGATTAATTAAGGTAGACATGAAACTAAAAACTAGTAAAAATCTATTGTTCCAAAACATAATGGACAATTAGTGTCTATGCACATTCACAAATAACCCCACCACCACCTACTACATTAATCTAAGTTGTCTAGATTTAGCCTCATTTCTCCATTTTTACTGTGGTATAGTCTTCATTAGTATATATTATTACTTATAAACTTTTCCTGAGAGTTGAGTAAATTGAGGGTTTGCAAGGGCAATGGCCACATAGATATCAAAACATACCCGGAGTGATGAAAGTGAGCTGCCCAAGGAACTAAGCCAAGGTTGGGCAGGAAAATAAGACAACAAAGCTGGCCTCAGCTTCAGTGCTTTCAAAAGTTGAAGGCAGTTTAAAAATTATCCTCATTCAGGATGTGACAGAACTTACAGATCATAAAACTGGGGATAGCAACCAAATATTTTAATTTTGCAAGGTAATTCACTATTACTTTATTTTTCATGGATTTATCCAAAATGGTGAAAATCTATTTATATTCCACGCATTCAACCTCCTGAGGTAATAAATTCCTTAAGATTGTGCCCCCAAATACTTTAATAAAATTTTGTTTACTTTTCCTAATTTTACCATGTTAAAACTTTTTTAAAAGTTCTCATAGCTAATCAAGCTATAAGCAAAAATTTTCAGTTGTTAGCTATACAGTTTGGCACTGTCCTCAGACTAAATAGCTAAGATTATCTTTCTGACCTCTAGTTTTACATGTTGAACACAGCTGTTACAAATATATATCTAATTTAAGATTTTTTTCCCCAATATTCTCTTTGGATTAGGAACAAATAATTTGAGTCACAACAAAAGGTAAACTAAAGGGGCAGGGTCATGCTCTATCCAACCACAGTGCTGCCTTTAGTGTCCATTACTTGACTGCCTGGTGCTATATGATGACCAGGTGGGAGGAGGGGGAAGTAAAGAACAACTCTTTATCCCTACACTGCAGTTGCTGCTCTGTGGGTTGGTTTTGCTCCACTGCTTTACAGTGCCCATGGTGGGAGTGATTTTAGAGTAGGGTTCTAAGAAAGTAAACTAGGAGGTGGTTGTGAGGTAAAAAATAAAAGGTATCAATGTAATTTTTTAAAAAATCATCCTAAGCAAAAGTTGCTTTCCAGTTCTAACACAATCACATACTCTGCCTAATTTAGTCAGATATAATCTTTAGTTGATTATTGTGTTGAATATGAGAAAAAGATCAGAGATCTGAAGTCAGAGGGCCCTGGTACATTCCTGGCCCGAGCTCCCAGGCTCCATATCATCACCCCTTGTTCACACACAAATTACCAATGCTGTGACCTGGAGCAAGACACTTCCACCAGCCTTCAACCTCAGTTTCTGTAACTACTTTTCTTTAACTACTGAGTTTGACTTTAAAAAATCTCAAATATCCCTATTCAGCTCTAAATTCTGTTTTGTGTTTTAAGTAGCTGCCATTTATATTGTACTCTAAGGTTTTTTGCAGTCTTTCACATGTGATCCCCCCAACAACCTTGTGAAGTAGAAACTATTATTACCCTCATTTTACAAAGGACAAAACTGAAGCTCAGAAGTTAAAGGATTTGCCTAGTGTCACATAGCTAGTAACTATGTAAACTAGGTCTTTTGGTTACACTAAATTATATCATTCTAAGGCATAATTTTTTTGCAATTGCTGAGTGAAACTCAGCTACTACTCATCATAGGTGTTGAAAGATTTTCCTATATATTCTCTTGTCATTTATCTCTCTGCACTTCCTCTTCTAAATTACTTATGTTAAATAAAACTAGTCCCATTGCTTCCCAGCAAATAGAACTATTTCTATTTCTACTGTTGTTAGAACTCTTCAATGAATCTCCCTACATCCTATCTTACCGGAAATATCCTTTCTTTCAGCCTCCAAATACCAGGCTATAGAGTTCATGAATGATTACAACTCTCCCTAAGAAAAAACCCTCAGCACCAGATGGATTTGTAAGTGAATTCTACTAAACATTTAAAGAACATTTAATTGCAATGTTACATAAACTATTTGAAAAAAATAAGTAAAGGAGACCTGCCAAATTCCTTCTGTGACACAAATACAATTTCTGATACTTAAATGAGGAAGGGTAAAAACAGAGGAAAAAAACTACAGATTAATTTCCCTAATAAATATTCATGCAAAAATTTAAGTAAAATATTAGCAAGGAGATTAAAGTAATAATTACAAAGATCATACACTATGATCAAGAAGGACTGATACTAGGAATGCAGGGCTGGTTCAGCATTAAGAAAACTATAAGCTTATTTGACCATGTTGTTAACAAAAAAAAATACAAAAATCATATTATTATATCAATAGATGAAGAAAGAGCTTTTTGCAAACTACAACATCCATTTCTAGTAAAAAAAAACACTAGAAAGAACAAGAATCAATGGAGCCTTTCTTCAAATGACTAGCAGTATTTATCTAAAACCAAGAATAAGCATTACCTATAATGGGAATAAACTAGAAGAAGCCTTCCCAATAAGTTCAGGGGGAAAAGCAAGGATGTCAATCATCATCACTAATATTCAATATTTGTATTTGTTGTTTCTGTTCACTATGTCTCACTCTTCATGACCCCCCTGGATTAAAGCACATCAGGCCCTTCTATTGTCCACTATCTCTTGAGGTCTGTCCAAGTTCATGTTTGTTGCTTCCATGACACTATCTATTCATCTCATCCTCTGCCATCCCCTTTTCCTTTTGCTGTACATCTTTTCCCATATCAGGGTCTCTTCCAATGTGTCCTGCCTTCTCATTATGTGGATAAAGTATTTAAGCTTCAGCTTCAGTATTTATCCTTCCAGTGAATAGGCTGAATTAATTTCTTTAAGTATTTACTGATTTGATTGCCTTGCTGGCCAAGGGATTCTTCAAAGTCTTCTCCAGCACCACAATTCAAAGCACTGATTCTGCAGCACTCAACTTTTCTTATAGTTCAACACTCATGGCTATACATTGCTAGTGGAAAAAACATAGCTTTGACTATATAGATCTTTGTCAACAAGGTGATGTCTCTGCTTTTCAGTACATTGTCCTGATTTGCCATACCTTTCCTTCCAAGGAGTGTGTTTTAATTTCTTAACTACAGTTGCCATCTGAAATGATCTTTGAGCCCAAGAATACGAAATCTGACACTGCTTCCATTTCTTCTCCTTCCATTTGCCGGGAAGTGATATGACCAGTTGCCAAGATCTTAGTTTGGGTTTTTTTTTTTAAACATTAAGCTACAAGCAGCTTTTACACTTTTTCTTTCATCTTTATCAAAAGGCTTCTCATTTTCTCTTCACGGAATAAGCGAGACTGTTGACATTTCTCCCAGCAACCTTAATTCTGGCTTTTGATTCAGCCAGCTAGGCATTTCCCATGATGTACTCTGCATATAAGTTAAATAAATAAATAAATAAGGGGACAATATATAATGTTGTCATACCCCTTTTCCAATCTTAAACCAGTCAAGTGTTCCATGTTCACTTCTAACTGTAGCTTCTTGACCCATATACAGGTTCCTCAGGAGACGAGTAAGATTATCTGGCTATTCCCATCTCTTTGAGGACTTGCCACATTTTGCTGTGATCCTCAGAGTCAAAGGTTTTCGGGTAGTCAATGAATCAAAAGTAGATGTTTATCTGGAACTCTCTTGCTTTCTTCATAATTCAGCAAATGCTAGCAATTTGGTCTCTACTTCCTCAGCCTCTTCAAAAACCAGCCTGCTCTTCTGGTAATTTTTGGTACACACGTTGCTGAAGCTTAGCTTGCAGAATTTTAAGTATAATTTTGTTGGCATGTGAAATGAGTGCAATTGTTCAGTAACGTGAACATTCTTTAGCACTGCCCTTCTTTAGGATTGGGACATAAAATGATCTTTTCCAATCCAGTGGTCACTGTTGAGTTTTCCAAATTTGCTAATGCAAATTTTGGGGGAAAAAAGGGTACAGAACTTTTAACAGCATCATCTTTTAGGGTTTTAAATAGCTCAAGTGGAATTCTATTACCTCCACTAGCCTTACCTTTAACAATGCTTCCTAAGGCCCACTTCATTTCATTCTCCAAGATGTTTAGCTCTAGATCAGTAACCACACCTTCTTCTTTATTGATAATGTTAAGATCTTCCTTGTATAGTTATTCTGTGTATTCCTGCCTCAACTCTTCTTAATCTCTTCTACTTCTGTAAAATCCCTAATATTTTTTCACTTTTATCATGCTAATTTTTACATAAAACCTTCCCTTTATAGCTCTAATTTTCTTAAAGAGATCTCTTGTCCTTCCCATTCTATTGTTTTCTTCTATTTCTTTGCATTGCTCTCTTAAGAAAACCTTATCTCTCCTTCCTGAAATCTCTGGAATTCTGCATTTAGTCTGGTATATCTTTCTCCTTCTTCTATCTCTTTTGCTTTCCTTCTTTCCTGACCTATTTGTAAAGCCCCACCAGATAGTCATTTTGCTTTTTTGATCTTTTTCTTCAGAATATTTTCTGTTGCTGCCTCTTGTACAATGTTGCAAACCTCTTTCCATGGTACTTCAGACACTCTACCAGATCTAATCCCTTAAATCTATTTATTACTTCCATTCCATATTCATAAGGGATGTTATTTAGGTCATGCCTATATAGTTTGATGGTTTTTTCTACTTTGTTCAATGTAAGTCTGAATTTTGCAATAAGAAGCTCATGGATAGCTCTAAGCCTTGTTTTAACTGACTATAAAGAACTTCTCCACCTTTGGCTGCAAAGGATATAATCAATCTGATGTTGATTTTGACCTTTTAGTGACATCCATGTGTAGAGTTGCCTTATAGGTTGCTGAAAAAATTTTCGCTACAATTAGAGTTATATTGATGAAACTCTTATTAGTCTCTGCTCTGCTTCATTTTGTACTCCAAGGTCAGCCTTGCCTGTTACTACAATTATCTTTTCATTTCTTACTTTAGCATCCCAATCCCCTATGTTAAATGTGACATCTTTTTCTGGTGTTATTTCTAGAAGATGGTGTGTAGGTCTTCAGAGAACTGAGCAACTTTGGCCACCTCAGCATCAATAGCTGGAGCACAGACTTGTATTACAATGACGTCGAATGGTTTGCCTTGGATTCAAACATATCATTCTATCACTTTTGAGATTCTACCAACATATTGCTTTTCTCATCCTTTTATTGACTATGAGGGCTACTCAATTTTTTTTCTAAGGGATTATTGCCTTCAGTAGCATGCCTAGTGATCACCAGAATTAAATTCATCCATTCCCATCCATTAAAGTTCACTGACACCCAAGATGTTGATATTTAATCTTGCCATCTCTAGTTTGACCACATCCAGCTTACCTTGGTTCATAAACCTTACCTTCCATGTTCCTATACGATATTGATCTTTACAGCACCAGACTTTAATTTCATCACCACATATCAGCTTGTTTTTAGCTTTTGCCCAGTTGCTGCATTCTTCCTGGAGCTACTTGTTTCTAGCATATCTCCTCTACCCCCCTCTCCACAACTGCATAATATCTGCTTTTAGTTTTAGATAGATAATTCTATGCCTATGTTGTACAGGCTTTTTAGGATAAGTGAACATTGTATTTTGTCAAAGTTTTTCTGCATCAATTGAGATAATCATGTGATTTTTGATATTTTTGTTAATGAGTAATTATTTTGACTATTTTCCTAATGTTGAACCATGTTTATAGCAATGGCATAAAGCCAACTTGGTCATAATAAATGATTTTTTTGGGTTGAATTGCTACAACTCCATTTGACAGGACTTTATTTAAAAATTTTAAATCAATATTAATTAATGATATTGGGTCTATGGTTCTTTTGTTGCTTTATACTTCCTTGGGTTAGGCATTGAACAATATTTGCCAGGTTTGAAATGTACACTTTTCCTTCTCCTTAAATCAGTAAAACACAGTTCAGAAATTATCTCCTATATAAAGATTCTACTCATACTCCAGTTATTAGAGCTCAATTCCTCATGAAATTACTTTGGCTTTGTTTATTTGTATACAGGTGGTTATTTTTCCAGAAAAATATAATATCCTTAAGGACAAGGAATATTTGATTTTTTTAAATTAGCATCATATGCAATAGGTAATGCCTGTATATAGTAGGACCTTAAGAAATACTTGTTGAACTGAATATGCTATATAGACATTGAATAATACTCAGAAGTACACTGACAAAAAGGTTGCTATTTTTACCTCTGATACTTACTGATACGTTACCACTGTCACTACTTGCAATCTCAGCTGCCTTCTCAATAATCTGTTTAAAAAAATACACAAATATACCAAAATAAATTTAACTGAATAACTTATGGATCAAAATGCTTAATTATATTGATTTTATATAAAATTCAGTTGTGAAAAAATTATAGAGCAAAAGAACAATAAAATATTGGTCTCATTCCACATATTCCCAGGGTTTTTAATTCTTTAACATGGGAATTATTTAAAAAGCATTAAGAAGCAATGCAAAACACCACATTGAGAATAAGAAGAATCCATGTTCCATCACTTACAACTACCTTCATGAACTCAGGACCTCTGGGACTCAATTTCATGTGTAAATGAACATTTTGATGTATCTATCTTGAAAAAGTAACCTGGTCAAAAACCATCAATTATAGCCCAAAGGGAGTGTAACTGACTAGAATCCTGATCTCCCAATTCTTACCATTCTGCCATGTGGAAAATATATGTCATTTCAAGGTATATAATGGCAATAATTTTAAAATGTTATTAATTCACTGCAAGTCAATTATGTGAGTACTGAAGTTACCTTATCAAAGGGAGGGTAATAATAAGGCTGCTTTTTATTCTCAGGGAATTTAACATGTAAAGCTGTTGCATTTTCAATATATGGATTTGTTTGAACAGTTCCCATTGGATTCAACATTTCTTCAAGCTCATCTGTAACAAGAAAATATTTTAAAAATATTTTTAAAAGTAAAACAAATCCCTATTACCACCAACCCTTAAAAGCTAAGTAAATATACACAGAAAATGCCTAACTCTGTGCTAATTCTCAACAAAGTTTCTAATACAAGGCAGCTTACCTTTAAAAAATGCCTGACTTTTGAAGTGTAAAATACGTCAAAACATGAGGCCTATGACACAGTACACTAGGATTTCTCTTCATCTTCAACCACATACGAAATTCCTTTTCTTTAAAACAACAACTCTTCCCCACACCTTCTCTAATGACTACACAGGGGGTTTCCAAAGTTTTTGTTTTGTTTTGTTTTGTTTTAAGTGCAGTTTTAAGCTATTATAGCTCAAAAACTGCATTAAGACACTTGGGTTACCCTATATTAACTTTTTTTTCACTACCCAACTTTTGCGACAAATGATATTATATCTGTAGACATTTCCTCATGATACTTTCTCCTTGATATTCTACAATATGGTTTTGATGCTTACACTAAAACTGCCATAATGAAAGTCAATAACTTCTTTTTGTTTTCCAAATCCAATAGATTTTCATCACTTATTCTTCATTGCCTTTGATTTCTCTTTTGTAGCTGAAACTGGTGAACCATGCTTTCCTTTAAAATTTTGACAACTTTTAGCTTCAGTGACACTAAATTAAGATAGTGTTCTTCCAGTATCTTCCTAACTACTGTGTTTTTGGCCATAACTGCTGCAACTTTTTTTCCCCACTCATATCTAGTTCAACCTCTTCCTATTAGGAACACCAAATGGTTTAGCAATTTATTCAAGGCTACAATTCAAGTAGATGACAGAGAAAGGCTTAAAATTTGGGCTTCTCTAACTCTGGAGTGCTCATTTGCCATAAACTCTGTTCTCAATTCACCTGTACTTAGTGTCACACAAAGAAATAAAAGGTGGGTAAATTCTCTCTACCAAAAAGGGATCCAGCTACATAAGTTATTTGTCAAAGATCAAGTAAGCACTGTCATACACGTATTTGGTCCACTGCTGTTCTAATAAAGGCTGACAAACTTAAAGCCACAATGAATTTCAGAGTTTATATAGTCAAATCCCCTCATATAACAAATGAGGAAAAGACTAATAACAAAAAAAAAAATCAAAAGTGAATGCTGCAAAATTACAAAAAACAAGCATGGACGTCAAAAAGAGACAAGAAGATATCACTGCACTCTCCTTTGTATTAGAGGTGAGACCTACAAGTATGGAACATAAATATATTTTCAGACTTTTTGGAAATATTGTTGGGTTTCACTGATTTTCTACCTTTTTTTTCCTTTAAAAATATTTTTCATCCTATGGTATGGCTTTCTGAGGGGAAAAGGGAGCATACTAGAAGAAATTTAGGAGATATGAAACAAAAAAAAATCAATATGAAAATTTTAAAGTAATAACTCACGGGAGTTTGACTATCTTATTTTTTAATTGACTAAAAAATGTGTAAAAAATGTATTGAATGAGGCTGATACTGGTTTGAAGATTTATACTACCATAATTTGTCATATTTGTTAAGTTTGTACAATCCTAGCCAGTTCTTCGTAAGACATATATGAGAGACCAACGGATTCTCTAGTCCAGATTTAGAGAGGGAAAAGGGTCAATGTGAATAATAGGCAAAATCACAGATTTAGAGCTGGAAGGAATTATAGAAATAAAGTAGTACATCTCCCTCATTTTACAAATGAATTAAGGCCAATAAAGGATAAGCGACTTGCCCAAGGATATATGACTAAGTGCAAAGGAGATACAAAAGAGTGTGCAAAGGTTAGATTTGCAACAATTCCTCTGACTCCAAAGTCTATGAACTTTCCACTATGCCTCAATATATAGAAAACAAATCAAAGAAGTACAAACATGACTTTGGAGTAGGAAGAGCTCAGAAAGTATCACCTGACAACTGATTTTCCTGTAACTATTTCTGACTTGGCATTGGCTGTTTGCATGTAGGGGAATTCACAAGTACAGCTAAAAAGCAAACATTTTAAGTTTAAAAAAATTAATGAAACATAGCTCTTTCCCCAAGGCACTTTTAATACCAGTTTAGTCATTGTATTCCATTAAAAATATCATGTTCTGAAAGTTATAATAAACTACATTCCATAATGAAACCATCAAAAATCTCATCATTCCTTTCCCTTTTGTCCCTCCTGCCCTACTCCATGGCAGATCTTTAATACATTTGCCATATAATAACTGTGTCTTAACCTCTGCTAGACTGAAAACTCCACCAGAGCAGGGACGATGTGTTATCTAAAAGTTTTATGGCCATCAGCACGCAATAGAGGGCTTCCTGAGTCCAAATCCATTGAGACACTTATTCGCTTCTGTGACCTTGGACAAGTTACTTAACCCCGTTTGCCTCAGTTTCCTCATCTGTAAAATGAGCTGGAGAAGGAAATGGAAAACCACTCCAGTATCTTTGCCAAGAAAACCCCAAATGGGGTCACGAAGAATAGGATACAACTGAAACCAATGAACAACAACAACAAACCTAGTATAGAGCTATGCATCACTAACAGATACTGATGTTTTGTTATGAAATTGAATTTAGTATGACTGGGAATAATTATGAAGTAAATATTGAATTCAGAAGTACACATCAATATATTCATAAGAAAGGTTTGTATTATATCTTAGTAATTCAGGATATATAAGGAATTTTCAAGTTAACAATGCTGCTTAATGCTTTATCAAAGAATGTAAAGTAAATGTTTTGACTAGCATGTCCTAAACTTGGTTTTACACAATATGAACTGGGATTCTGTGGAAAAAAATATGAATCCTAGCAAAAGAATCTGCATAAAATATTAAATTATGTGTCAATATAATTGTTATGCAATCTTGGCAACAGATAATGAAAATTATGCCCCTGCTCCTACACATAATCACTGAAAGGTAGGAAATGACGGTTGCAGAGTGCTGCATTGGATCCTGCTTTCTTAGCTGGTTTTCTTTGCTCAAAAAGAGCATCCACTGGGAGGATGATTCTATCAAGAACTGATTGATACAGAAAATAAAACCATCAAAAAGAATTTAAAATATGAATCAAGAACATTTATAGCTGATCACTCCAACGGAAATGGGCTTTATGGCCTCTACCTTATTCCAAAATTTCAACAAAGTACTTTTATAGAAAGGAATATTCCATGCCCCAGGTCCATAAATGAATATGTGTAGGCTCTCAATAGATTTCAAGTCATAAAGTGATCTGGGGATAAATTAGTATGGTTTAGAGGAGAAGTTTAACATAATAATAAATACATTTGATGCAGTATATAAAATGACTTTTCCATTGACAGGGTATATAATAATGATCTGAAGTGCTGATTCATTTATCTGAACTGAATAAAGAATTTTATTTGCAAAACTAATAACAATGTAATACAAGCAAAGTTATTCTAAAAGTCTCACAATTAGAGCATAATTCTTACCAGGAAATGATGACCAGCTGTGCAATATGATATCTCCAGCTTTCAGCTGTCCTTTAAAGTCAAACACCATGGTATTTACCCATGCTACAGGATAGTGCTATGCAAGAAAGGTATAACATTAAATATGTTAAAAATAAACCTGACACTTTAAAATACCACATCAGACCAAGTTAATGAGGGTTTTACTTTTTCTACTGACATGTAAGAGGAAAAGTTGTGCTACTTAACCATAAGAAATTTTTAAATGTTTAATTAATTAGTATCTTCCCTTAACAAATGTGAACAATTAATAAGAATATAATTGTCATCTTTTGGTAAAAGAAAATACACCATGATACTGCTGCTGAGAAACCTTGGCTTCAAGTTGCTGCTATCTTAGAAAATAAAATGCGGTAATGATTTTTATAACATTTTTAATATTAAAATTTATAAAAACCAGGAGGTAAACAAATGAAATTAGAAATAAAATGTTTGGCAAATTAGTTAAAAATTAGTAATGAGAATGAAAAGTAAAATAAAACCAATGAAGTTTTGATTCCCCTATTCATAGTAAATTAAATTGATGATTAATTAAGTTCTAAATGGTTTCAGTTTTCAAAATCTCAGCTACCATGACGATGGTTTTCATTTTGGAATGGTGAGAAGGCCGACCTCATGCCTCAAGAAAACACTGGAAGAGACTCTTTTAATTGTAAAACTTTAAAAGCTTAAGGCTAACAAAAGTATGACATAGCTAGACTGTTTTTGAAAGTGAACTGGAGAAAAGATCTAGAATATAAACTGGGATGAATTTTCTTGGTCCTGAGTTCTATAATCATTCCCTATTTGCCAGTGTGTAACCTTCCCTCACATTTCAACTAATATGAAATTTTAGACTTGAAATCCAGCTCTTTTTTAAAATTGAAGAAAATAAATTACCACTTTTCCAGCTTTCCTGATAGTCTGATATTTGGAGGGATTAATTGTCTTGGTCGACTTTTTTGTTTTCACTTTATCTACAGCATAAACTGCAAAGCATAACCGAGCCATTCTTGGTAAATCACAGATGTTAATATCAAATTCCAGTGGTTCACTCCAAACACGGTCATTTCTCCCAGATATCTCTGAGCTTACAACCGGTTTGCAAAGAAGTTCAGTTCCATGAAAAAGTCCAGCCCTGACATGAACCTGAAAGAGATATAGAAATGATGGTTAGTGCTAAAATTATTAATTAGGAAAACACTAAGAATAAAAATTAATTCATGTTGAAATAAAAATTTGGTTAGAGGCTAAGGAAAGACCACTCCCTCCCCCCACCTCAGTTTTGAGGAAGATAAAAAGGTTAGTACCAGATGGTATGGGCGAGAGAGAAGAATAGTCTTGGTGAGGTCAAATTGCCTTAGTAAAATGTAATAGACAGACTCAGATTTGAGCCACAATATAAACTGGGGTTCATAAGCCTAGAACTCAAAAGAAATAGGTTTTCCCTAAAAGTAACTAGAAGACAAACATGTAAAAATTAGCTCACAAGGAGTTTACAGTCTAATGGGGGTACAACATGAAAACAAGTATGCAGAAACAAGATATAATATGATAAATCGGAGGTAACTAACAGAAGGCATTAGTATTAAGGGGAATTGTAAAAGACTTCTTGCAGAAGGTGGGACTTTAGATAAAAGTTGAAGGAACCTAGGAAGTAGAGATGAGGAGACAGAGTTCCAGGTATAGAGGTCAGTCAGTGAAAATGCCCAGAGTCAGAAGATGAAGTGTCTAGTGGAAGGAACAGCAGGGAAGCCAGTGTCACTGGACTGCAGAGTACATGGAAGGGGAGGGGATGTACAAAATTTAAGAAGAGAATTCTAAATTTGATCCTAGAGGCAATGGAAGCCAGTGGAAGTCACCTTCTAAGTATCTATCCTGAGCCCTCTTTTCTTTTCTCTCTATGCTTTCTCACTAGGTGATTTCATTAGCTCCCACGGGTTCAATTACCATCTCTATGCAGATCCACCTTCACTTCTACCTTGAGATGAAGTTTTGCATTATTAACTGCCTCCTGGACACTTTGAACAAGATGCTGTATTGGCATTTCAAACTCAACACGTCCAAAATAGAAGTCATTTTTTTCCCCCAAATCCTTTCTTCTGAACTTCACTCTTAGGGTCAAATGTATGACTATCCTTCTAGTCACTCTGGTTTACAACCTCATTGTCATTTTCTCCTCCTTTTTCTTGTTTACTGCATATATTCAATCAGTAGCCAAATCTTGTAATTTCTTTCTCTAATGCATCTCTTCTATATGTTCCATTCTTTCTACTCACAAAGATACCATACCCTCATCTGGTCCCTCAAAACTCTTGTTTGGATTACTACAAAAGCTTTCTAATTGGCCTTCCTGCCTCAATTCCCTCACCATTTGAATCCATCCTCAAAAAGAGTTGCCAAAATGATTTTCTTAATGCACAGGAATGGCTATTTCACTCTTTATTTAAACTCAAGTGGCTTCCTATAATCTTGAGAATCAGATAATGTTCTTCAAAATCTGACACATCCCTACCTTTCAATATTCTTACATTTAATTGCCCTCAACACACTCTATTTTCCATTCATACACTCCATTTTGATATATGAAATGCACTTGCTCCCAACTTCCAGCTTTTATAATCCCTGGCTTCCTTTAAATGCCATCTTCTCCAAGGTTATCTCCTATGTTCTGATTTTTCTATGTTGCCTCCCCCATTAGAATGTAAAATCCTTGAGGATGGAGATGGTTTAGGTTTTTCTTTGTATTTCCTGAGCTTAAGATAGAATCACGACCACAGATTCACAGCTGAGAGGGCCCCAGAGGCCATTAAGTAGAGAAAAAATTGAAGATTAGAGAAGATAAGCAACTTGGCAAAGGCCACACAGCTAATGAGTATCTCAGGTTTTCCTACCTCCAAGCCAAAAACTGCATCCATTCTGTACCTTAACTGCCACGGTACCTGGCTTGTAATAAGCATTTAACAAATGTTTGCTATTTGATTGACTGACATATAGAAGGGGAATGTGGCAGGGGAGAGAAATAAAAGTAAAGGATAAAAACCGAAGAGAAGCAATTTAAGTTCACTAAAGGGAAAAACCTTATCAAAGCCACCCAAAATTTGAAAGAGATGCCTTCTAAGTAATGGGATTTTTCTCATCTGAAGTCTTCACACGGAGGATGGATGACCAATTGTAAGGTATGCTGGAGAGACAATTTATAAAGGGGTAAACCACCTCTAAAGCCAAGCCTCAGGGTCCCTAAGCTGCTGAGGTGTTCTTTGCTGTCAGGGACACAAAGAGGCAAAACTGAGTCACTCTGCATTGTAAAGGGCATTTCTTGGGGGAGCCTCATCTCCTATCACCTTGCGATGAACTTCCTGAACTGGTCTGAAAGTCAGTTCATTTCATTCACCAGGGACTGGATCACCACATTCATCCTTTACAAGTTTGAAGTCCTCCCTTTGAAATTCAATTATTCAATTTGAAGTTGTACAAGTTCCTAAATTTTCACTAGCAACCTCATTAGTGAAAATATTTTTCAAAGAGGTGACTGTCAATGGGAAAGGACCTCCATGTACGAAATTACTCATAAAAGCAATATTTGTGATTAAAAAACCAGAAATAAAATAAATGCCCAGTGATTACAAGAACAGCTACAGAATAGCAGAATACTACTACTGCATAACAAATGATGACTATGATTCAGATAAACATAAGAAGACTAGTCTGAAGTGAAGCTAAGTAAAAAAGGCATAACCAGCTAAATAACATATACAACAACTATGACAATGTATATAATGACAATGCTAAAGGGGAAACAATTTTGCCAAATACCAAAAGATAACACTGCTACCATACTAGCAAAGTTAAACTGTACACTTGTGCTTTCTGTTATCAAATGATAAACTAAAATAAATAAATAAACTCTAGAAAGTAAAATGGTCAATTAGTCACAATTAAGTTATTAGGCTCTTTCAATTAATGGTTTTAAGTGAATATACCTTGTGGTAAGGGGTGAATAATTTGGTTATTTCTTGGAAGGTTGCTGTATATACATAAATTAAAAAGAAATTTAGCTACTTTTAGCAAGGAAATATCATCCGAAGGACTACTGTCCTTCCATTAGCACACGTACTAATGGAATCAAAATTTTGGTTTAGAATGTGGGGGAAATCCGTGGCACTTTAACTGCCACAAGACCTTTATATCAAGGAACAAAGTCAAGACGCTGGCTGTTTTTGGCAAGTTCTCCTAAGTATATGATCATGCCAGAAATATCATGGACTAATCGAATGGCTTTCTCACATTACAGTATCATTCAATTATCTGCCAAACAAAATAAGAGAAAATGCACACTTAATACTTTCAGAGATAAAATGCCTTGTAAGATTTTCGTGAAATTGTGTAGAACTGCACAATAAATTCCCATGCATTAACAGCTTGTGGTCTGTGATACAGTCATCTTCTTTCTTCCAGGAAATGGTACTACATTTTCTGTGTTCAGCATGTTTAAAAAAAAATGAAATGGTATGAACTGAGGTTATATGGGTGGATAATAAGAGTTTAGCTTGTTTTATATGAGCACGTGATTCAATTTCTCGGTCTTTAATGCCTATATAATATGATCCTCACTGAAATTAATCTGTATAATTGGATAAGTGTTAAGTCTGTTCAAGGGATTAAATCTAATTTTACCTAACCTTTGAAAAATGATTGTTTTTAAAGGAAAATGTACCACTTAACTACGTAGAAGTTGGGCAAATGCTAAACATACATGACAAAATTTAACAGATGCTAAATAAAGTTATCTAAATGGCATATTAAGTGATAGGTCAATCCAATGTTAGACAACACTTACTTTGACAGTTTCTTCTGTGTTCAGTTTAGTCCCCTTAACCAATATAATTTGGAAAGGCTGGGTATTCTCCCAAACATTCTACAAAAGAAGAAAATTAGGACAGCGCCTGTTTCATCAAATTGAAAAGATTTTGCACAAAGCAAATTAAATCAAGTAGGATAAGAAGGAAAGTAAGCTGACAATTTGGAAAAAACAAAAAAACTTCCATCAAATATCTGAAAGAAGTCTGAGGTACAAGATATGGTAAACTACCAAAAATATGTAAAAACCAAGAGCCACTGGATAAGTATGCAAAAGATATGAACAAACAGTTCTCAAAAAGAATTATAAACAATTAACAACCATATGTAAGGTAGTTGCAAATCACTAATAAGAGAAATGAAATAAAAAAAAAACTTCTTGGGATCAAACACCTACCAAGTTTGTAGAAAGGACAGAACACAGAAAGAGTCAATATTGCAGGGCTGTGGAAAGAAAGGCATACTCACAGCTGTCTGATGGAATTGTGAATTCTTAGTTTGAACATTTTCAAAAACAATTTAGGAATTGTAACAACAACAACAACAACAACAACAACAACAACAATGATATCTATAGCCTTTGACTGAGATTTGGTGAAAGAAAAAAGAGGAGTCCCATTATTCATAGCATCACTACTGTAGTATCAGAGTTAGAAAGTAGGTGCCCACTGATTGGGAATGAGTAAACAAACTGTGTTACATAAATACAATCAGGCATCAGTGCTATAAACAACAAATATGTGAAATACAGAAAGCCACCAAAAGACTTATGGATTGATACAAAGAAAAATAAATGGAACTAGGAAAAGGATTTACACAATTTTTACAACAATGAAAAGTGAAAAAACAAACAACAAAAAAAGAAATCAAACTTTGTTATTATGATCAGGCTTGGTCCTACTGATTAAAATCTACCTCTCTGCTTACTTCAAAGCAGGGTGGCGGAGAGCTATTTATGTGGAACATTTCTTCAACTCAGATCTTATTGTGTTGATTAACTTTGCTGAATTGCTTTTTTTCTCCTACCTCTTTATTATTATTATTCTAAAGTGTAGCTTTCTGGGTAGAAAAGAAGGGAGAGATATATTCAGAAACGATGGGGTTATAAAAATAAAAGATAACAATTTTTAAATAGTGTTAGCCTTTTTTAAATAAAGTATTTTGCATTGAGTATGAAGTATTTTATCAGATGATAAATATTGATAAGAGAATATTCAACATAAATTACACTGGCATTTTAGGAAAATATAGCAACATACATACACATACACACACACACACACGAGAGAGAGAGAGAGAGAGAGAGAGAGAGAGAGAGAGAGAGATATGTCCAGACTGGATATTTGGGAAGGAAAACAAGGTCAACCCAATAGTCCAAGGATAATGAGACATGACGGGGAATAAAGTAATACTACTTTTCTGGCAGTTTTTCATACTAGTGGTTGGAATTTAGAACAATCCTAAAACTTTCATATCATTAAAATATAGAATGCATAAACACTTGGTTAAAAAAAGAAGCCAGTGTGACTGAACAATGTCTCCTTTTGTTCTTAAGAGTAATACAAATATAATTTACATAACAGATTCTGGAAACATAATATCATTAGTATGTTTGATATATTTAAAAGAGAAATATTTCACAGCTATGAGTAGGTTAAAAAATATTTAAAAGGAGCCTACCACTTCCAGGCCAAAAGCTAAAAGTCAATGTAACTCTTCAATCAACTGACTTGGATTTCATATTGTCAAACTTAAACTTAGACTCTCTGATATAACTATCTCTCCTTTAAAAAATGTAAACATAGAACCAAACATAACAGTAAAATCATAAATATAAAAGTAAACCTTAACTGAAATGCAGCTTTAGCAGTGTAAAATAATAGATGGGAGGAAAACTAAAATAATGGCATTAAATTTTTTAAAATATAAGAATTTAGAAAGACAAGTTATTAATAAGTGACAGTCTTTTGACTCTTAGTGTGGTAAAAGAAGAAATGGGGAAGGAAAATGCCAAGGACTGAAATGCACAAGCTGAAAGGTCATACACTCTTTAGGGTCACCTAAGAATGAAGAGTTAAACTCACAGAAATTAATCGTGTTTTTTTTGGTGGCAGTGGAAGAGGAAGGTTGGATGAATTTCGATTTATGGCAGCTTCTATGGCAATCATTTCCTGTTCACACATCTTCTTGATATTGCAACATTCAACAAGAGTGAGTTTGGGAAGAGTTCTATTCATGACACAGTTCCGTATATACTGAAATAGCAGAGAAGACAATTATTGCAAAGTGAAAATTCTATCTTGTCAACACAGTACTTCCACAAAAATTTTAAATCAAGAATGAAATAGTCAGAAAATTGGAATCTGAAATTTGAGTTAATATTGAATACTTGAAAAAAATCTAAAATTGATTACACAAGTCCAATATATTGAAAAAATTAAATTATTTTTTTCCTTTGAATATCAATTGAAATTTTAAATGATTCAATCAAATTTTTAATGACAATGATTAAGAGAAAAGAATACAGAAGAAATAGCAAGAATACATTTATAACACTGAATTTTTCCAAGATTAGCTAAAGAAAACTTTTGCTTAATTTACCTGAATTTGTTTTCTGGTTTCTCATACACTGAGTTGACTTCTATTGTTTCTGATTCTCCTTTAGCTATCCTATTAATGCATCTTTCTATTTCTTAACCAAAATAAAATTATTTTGAAGACTGCTGAATTATACTTACAATTTGAGGTCTGGAAATTCTATTTTGCCCTTCTTCACCCTACCATTTTTTCATTATTTGCCTTGAAATTCTAGACCTTTTATTTCTCCAAAGAGATATTGCTATTACTTTACTGAGTTCTGTAAAGTATCTTCTCTCTCCCCTTTGAAATATAAATTACTTAGGAAAGAGCTCCTTATTTTATAAAAACTGCTGGGAAAAATTGGAAAGCATTCTGACAGAAGTTAGTAGGCCAGAAGCAGGAACACTGAGTGCTAGGTTGTTCAATTGTTATCAAAGTATACAAGATCTTTCATTAAAATTCACTCTTAAGTGAATAATTTTAGTTTTTCCTGGCTGACTGTATAGTACTATGAATGTAAAAGTGAAACTTTTAACGAAAGAATCAAAGGTAACTGAAATGCAGTAAACAGACTATAACCCCAGAGGACCAAAACTAAAACTTTTGTCTTAAAACTAAGACTTTGTGTCCCCTGTTGCATTAAGTCTACTGCCTTATATAACATTCAAAGAACAGGCAAGAAAATCAGAAAGGATTAGTGAAGGGTACTGAAGATGAACATGTCAAAAACAAAAATGTCAGCATAATTCTATCCCTTTTAGATTAAAATTTCATAAGCAAAAGTTGCACTATGTTAATAAGAATAAATGTTAATCAGAAAATCTACATTGTTCATGATATGTATGCACACCCTAACAAAATGGCATAGACAGTGTTACTTTTATAACTCAATGGCATCAGAAAAAATACGAAAAAATGGAGCTATTTAGAAAAATAATATTTCATAGTACTCTGGGCCTTGTATTAGCAAAATTTAAGAACTCTGATCAATGTAAGGACCTACTACAATTCTGGAGAACTAATAAAGATTCATGATACCCAGTTATTAAGAGAGAAATGATAGATGCAAGATATGTGGACTAAGACAAATATTTGGACCAGTCCAATGTAGTAATTTGTTTTGCTTGACTATAAATATTTGTTCCAAGAGACGTTTTTCTTTTTTCTTCTTTTCTAGGAGTGGCAGTGGCAAGAATAGGGTAAAAGGTGAAGAGAGGAAAGGAAAAGAAGGAAGGAAGGATGGAAAGAAGAGGGAAGCAAAAAGCATCTCTTTTTTAAAGATATGCACAAAAGACAACAGAAAGAAGGCTAGAAAGAATTACAGAAGTAGTACATACTCGAAAGTTACATATTGCGATCTGGTATATATTTAAAAGGAAAGGGCAGCTAGGTGGTGAAGTGGATAGAACACCAGTCCAGGAATCAGGAGAACATGAATTCAAATCTGGCCTCAGAAACTTACTAGCTGTGTGACCCTGGGCAAGTCATTACTCCTGATTGACTTTAAAAAAAAATAAAAATAAAAAAAACCAAGAAGCATGTAAGAGTCCTGCAGTTTCATATAAAAAGCTCTTACTATGTTCTACATTGGATATATAAATGCTCACTTCATTTGCTATTTATTAAGTTTGTATTTTAAAAAATGATAAATTTTTAAATGTTCATTATTTGATTTTAAATTATAACAGTTTACATACCTGGAACTGAATTAATGGGTGATCACCAAACACATATTCTAGTCTCCCACTGACTTGTAGCACATAGTCATAAGGATCAACTTCATCTTCCTTTCCACGGATAGTCAACCGTTTTCGGATTGCTAACTCATTTAGCTTGATGGGATTCATATTAGGAGATACTTGGAAACTAAATACATCCTTTTAAAAAGAGAAAGCAAGTTATTAGATAATAAAATACAGCACTTATCACAATAAAAATTTTTTGTCCACAATACCATTCAAAATTAAGTACCCTAAACTTTCAATTATTTTGATGCATTAAGCTGCCACAAAAGAATGTCAAGAGTTTAACCATTATATGCTTCTCTGATTGCAGTAGAAAAATAGTTATGAACTCTAATATAGCACTTCCCAACTAGAGTTAAAACAATAATAACTTCCAATTCATGATGAATTTATAACTGCATAGCATCCAGATCTAGGGAGGTAATAGTCCCACTATACTCTCTACTGGAAGGATCATATATATACTAATATTTTCAGTTCTGCATACTACATCATAAATACAATCTTGACAAAAATCAGGAGCCAATGAGCCAAGATCTAGAAATCACATCAAAGAACAGGTGACAGGGCTGGAAATGTCTGCATTAGTGAAAGCTACCTTTAAATATGTAATGGGTTGTATATGATGGAGAAGACAGATATAAGCTGCAAAAGCCAGAACCAGAACTATTCAGTATAATTTTCATTAATCTCAATATCTTAAAAAGCAATTTGTTAACAATTAGAATTGTCCAACATTGTAATGTGAAGCTGAAAATTCCTTATAAGTGAACACATTTAAGCAAGGCCTAGATGACCATATATAAAGAATACTTAAGAGGTATATCTTATAATGCATTAGGAAGTTGAATCAGATTGATCCTAAGGCTCCTAGTCCAATTAAGACTAGGTACAAAAAGAAATTTTTATAATGCTATTCAACCAGGAAGACAAATGAGTTTAAAAACAATGTGTGTAAAATACCTCTTTTAATAGCTGTATAGGAGAGTAGGTTTCATCTGTATCTTTTTAGAACAAAGAAATCAAAGACTCAAACACTTCCCCCTTACGTTTCTATATGTTTTCCATCAAAATGTCCTCCTGTTCAGTATAAAAAATGATAGAAATTGGAGAACAGTTGAAAAAGTCAACACTTAAGCATAAGTCCATTTGATGAATTAGGGAAGGTAAGGAGAATAAACAGAAAGAAGTATGTTTTAAAAGTCAATATTTAGGCTCCAAAGAAGAAAAGTCAAAAGACTTGTTTTCCTTCTGGTCTAAACATTACCACAACTGGTTTTACTTTTACTTCAGCAATTCAACCACTGGTTTACTGTAATACAGGAACTGCTGAAGTTGTTTTTCTACCACCAGAACTTGAAAATTATTTCTCAAAGCTCCATTTCAAATTTCTCAACTGTGATTCAAGTGGAGCAGAAGGGTCGAGCAGGGTAGAGTAAGATTACCCGATTAGGATGCCAGTAAATTACTACCACAAGAAAAGGGATGAAACTTGCCTTGACTAATTACTCTTATCTCTCCCAGTTTTATTAACATTTATGAATTTTCATCATACAATTTTCAAAGTAAAGACTATTTCTACTTTAATGATGCAAGTAATCCTGATACTGGAATCTCAAGTAAAAACGTTAAAAAATTACATTAGAATCATATGAACACACCTGACAATTTTCAAAATGGACAGCTACCACAAGATTTCCACCATAAAGTTTATCTTCCAAGTTTTCAGGAATAGAAGGTTCTTGTTCTGGTGGGTAAGTATGCTTTAACCAATCCATCCAAGACAACCCCACAAGGGACTGGATCTTTTCTTCACTGAACTGGCGCATTTTACTTCGGAACTCATTCACTTCGGGATCTTCTAGGGCATCAAACTCATGAAGACCTAAATGAATTCAAAATAGGATGATCACTTGACTAGCCAATCGAGTAAAAAGAATTATATTGTACAAGAGGAAGATAAATAATACATGCATGAAAGTTAATGTAGATGTATGATTACCTCAAAGAAATACACACAAAAAAGCTTATCTTGAAAGGCATCAAGAGCAAATTATTAAAATTATTAAATTTCACATACTAAAAGATAAATTTAAACTTTAGTAAAAAACAGATTTGTACAACCTAACACTAAGGATCTGCAACACAAAAACTCTTAGAAAGAATTTATTATTTCAATACCTATTTATAGATAATGAGATGTTAGCATTTATTGAAAACTGTGTATCTGTTTACTTTACAACTTTAGTCATCAATGTTGAAGTTTCTATCTATAATATTTTAGGTCCTGAAACTGTTTCAAGTAATTTGTATGTATACTGGAGTTTCATTCAAACAGCAGCAGCAGCTGCTTACACAGTGAAAATATTCACTACATAATAGAGCAAAATATTCTACTTTTCTGTATTTAATAGGAAACACTCCTGCTTCAAGAGTACACTTCTTTTAAGTCTGATTATTCTAATAAATCAGTTCAGGAAATATCAATAAATATAATTAATTTAATATTAAAATTTGGATTTGGACAGTGAAACAAAATTTGGCTGTGGGGAGGTCCTCTATATCAACATAAAAAATTTGATGATCAATAAACAGACTGTCTTTTTGAAAGAATATTAGAAGCAAACTGTCTGTTCTTTCTATATCATTGCCCAAATAACCATCAGCCACAGAATGGAATAAAACACTAGAATGTGTGTCTAAGTCTCTGAGTCTATGCCTCTAAGATATTTGAAAACAGGGATGTGTTTCATTCACCCTATGCTCAGTGCCTAGCACACAGTATATACTTAATAAATACTTTATTAATAACTGTTTGAAATAAGATGATAAAATTTAGAGGCGGAAGGGCTGTCTGAGAATATTTAGTCTGATCCAATCATTTGAGAGACTAAAAGTGGAGGCCCATCAAAGGGAAGTAAAATACTTAGGAATCTGTTGATAATTTTGTTGATAGCCCTACCAAGTCCTTTGGTTTAGCTTAAACAGGGGTTGCTCTTCATATAAAAGGAAGACTCACCGAAAGACTATACTACCAATATATCAGAAAACTTGTAAAAAGAGATCACTGAATTACACGCTGAGTGATTTCATTAATACATTTTTTATACACCTACTAGCAAGAGTTGGGTGGAATTATTTTGCAGTTCTGTATTTTCTAAGTTAAAAAAAAAGCTACCAATAAGTATTTCTTGACTAAAATTAATATCTATAAGTACACATTTCTTACCACTCTGTAACAAGTATCACAATATAAGCTTAAGCAGAGGAAATTAAGGACTTATTTAACAAAAACAAAAACAAAAAACTTTAAAAAAAAATTATGATATACTTTAAGACCCTCATAGATCTCTGCTGGAAGGTACAGAGATATTACCCTAGCATAGAGAAAAACCAGAAACCAAATGATGGATTTAAAATAACACTGAGCATTTAAAAAAAAACAAAGGAAAGGATCAGGCATATCAACTTTCAGGAAAGCATATTTTTAGACTAGGTAGTTTAGTTGTATCAGTAAAGGTTTCATTGTCTTCTTGTGGGTCCAGGCAGAGGCAACAAGCTTGTTCCTAAGTCTAAACAGAAGTTACAGTCTCACCAATTGTTTATTGTTTTACCAGGAGGAATGACCTCATCAGTCCCTAATTGTGTTTATCTCTTACATAATCTGCAACTGTAACTCCACACAGTATTTTTTTGAAAGAAAGTTTATTCTAAAGTTTACTGGAATTGTTTCTTAAATGTATTGTTAATTTCTAAGTATGCACATAACTTATCCATAAATTATTCCCTAAATATACTTAACAAATGTATGACTACAAGAAATAAAGTGCTATAGCAAAATTATAAAGGGTCATTAGGAAATTTTTTTAAGGGAAGAGATTTAAATTTCAGTTCCCAACAGTATTAAAGACAATTATGAAATTATGTTTCTAACTCTTAAGCCACAGGCTTAAACTGAAGGCTAAATAGTACATGCATTATAAAAGCTTAAGTTTAATTTTTATGTGTTTTAGATTCACATGCCTGCGGCCATATCAATTGTTTAGGCTATTAGGAGAATATGATGCATCAACAGAAAGTTGTGAAAAAGAAGTAGATCCTATGGAATCCTTTCAGCTGAGGTCTTAAAGTACATTGACCAATCTTCCAAATTTTTCCACCATATTTATTTATTCTTTGGCTAGCTTTTCCCAATACCCACAATAAGTCGTTAGGCTACTAATTATAGCTATATTTACTTAGGGAACACAAAATGATTCTAAAAATTCAACTAAGAAACACATAATTTGTGAGGAAAATCCAATGTGAAATCAACAAACACTATATCCAAAAGTCAAATATAAATGAGTTTTTGATGATCCATTCATTCTAAGATTGAAAACACAGGTCTTCTTCATTATCATGAATAGTGAAAAGGTGACAATTTTCTCCACTAAGGCATATAAAATGGATGAGACAGCATAGAAACTTGAGAAAACTTATATAAACTGATTGAGGAGAAATTAAGCAGAACCAGAAGTACAATATACACAATAACTACAGTAATGTAAGTGAAAACAACACTAAGACGTAACAATTGTAAAGGCAAGTCTCAGTCCTGAAGAGCAAAGGATGAAACATATCACCGTTTCTCAGTTGAGAGGTAAGAGACTGCAGAGACAGAATGTGGCATACAGTGGCATGGTGTTCACTGTGACACTTTTGCTTAACTACTTTTCTTTTCCACAGTAGAGAATTCGATGTTGGGAGAGAGAATTCAATGTTGGGAGGGAGGAAAATAAATGGGATATATGAAAAAGAAAAGACATCAACAAAAGTTAAAAATAAAATGGTTTAGAACAGGTAGGAATTAAATACAATAGTAGCTCTGGAAAAAAAAAAGGTTAAGTTTTCTGGGTACTGTGAATATTCTGGTAAGTCATGATTGCAAAGACAAGAAAGATTATTTTTAAAAATTTTTTAAATTAATCTTCTGGTTTTACATATCACCTTAATATCCAAATATACTTTTTATCCCCTCCTTATCCATTCAACCATTCCTTGTAACAAGAGAAAAGAAAGAGGGGAAAAAATCATTAAAACCAAACACATCAACCAAGCCTACCAATGTGGGCATTATTATACATTCTATTTTTACAACTCTTTTCCAGAGAAAAGTGTCTTGGTCATTAAAAACTAGTTCAAGCTAACATATCCTCTATGCTTCTACTTCAGGCCCTCCTCCCACAACATTAGGAAAGTTAAATCTTTACTCATTTTCAAGGGTTAAATCACCAAACTGCTTTAATCTTTAAATCATGATACTGCTCAGAACACGAAGGCTCTTTCAGCCTCTAGACCATGCCCACCTTTCTAGGAGTAGTCTTTCTCTCCCCATTAGTCACTTGAGATATTTATGTACACATTCACACAGAACAGAAAGCTATATGGTATGCTGGGTTGCCATTTGTCAATTACTCTACCTAATTAGTCTGTGCTACAATTTAGTGTTAAAATCAGATCAATATTAGTAAGAATCTTTGGCTGGGAAACAGAAAGCTAAGAAGGTTTAGTAAAGTAATGCTAACTACCTCACAAGAATTGATGCTAAAGGTTTATTCATAATTGCCTAACTGTTAAAAAAAAACCTATAAATTTATGTATTTATGTGTATGTATATAATGAATACTTCTCCACATAGTTATGATATTAATCATTTCCCACATAACAAGAAAACAAACAAAAACTCCAACACTAAGATAAACATTACCTTTTCCTATAAGAACTCCAATTTTGGAATCTAATTTTTCCCCTGGGTCACAATTTCTTGTCACCACTTTGAGAACTGAAAGAAAAGGTCTGATATCACAAAGTCTTCTTGTTTCATCTTCAAGCTCCTCATAAACAGCAGTCTGGTTCACACATGCAAACATATAAGCTTCAATTTCCATAAGAAGGTTAAACATAGGATAGTTGTGAGCTTGCTTCCATAGCATCTGCAAGTAATAATCAGACAAACATACAGTCAGTTCTGCTATAACACTTGTTTTGAAAATGTAAATTTGTCCCACAACTGATATATAAAGAGTAATTTCAGCATAATTTGAATTTTGAGTTTGCATCTGCACAATTTCTTCCTTACGACATCAAGAATGCAGAAATCTGCACCACTTCACAATAACTCACAAGCTGTGATGCTTCCAAACGCCCATTTCCAAAAGCAAACTTCAGGCCTTTCTAAAGGCCAAGTGCCATATTTGTTGTTTATCTTCTGGTACGGTAGGAGCTGTGATCAGAAATGTAGTCTATACAGTACCCCTTCCACCTAAGCCCCTTCCCCTATACCCAAAGCAGCAGCAGCCAGAGGCTTCTCTAATTTGCCATGACTTATTGTAGTACTTACATATTTCATAACGATTTACCACATATAAAACAGTGCTACCATTTAGGTTCCTATCTTTTTTTTTAAATGTCACCGATAAAGTTTTTGAGCACTGTGACCTTAACAACATTTTCCCATAAGCCCTATAGTTTTTAATTATGTAATTTTGCTGGGGGGGGATGCATATGTCGAGTTACAGAAAAACAAAAATAAAATTACATTATCTTTATTCTAAACTTAGTTACATCTTTCATGATTGGGGAGAGAAGCTAACACTATTGATACAGACTAATGACGACAGGGCAAGTAAATGAGAAAGAGACCTTGTCATCTCTTTCAAAATTAGCAACAGCCAAGTCCAGAAATCAAGAAAAAGAAACCTGGTTCAGTTCTTTCACAGATGTCTATTTTAGCCAATTATTCTTCTCCCTCCAACCATGATGCCACAAAGACAGCAGCAGCATTGGCTACTGTAACAAGCTACCAAAAAAGATTCAAATTCTGATACTGAGAGCAACAAAATCAATTCTCCATCTCATTTGGCTAATTCTTGCCAACAATACTTTTTAACTACAACATTTATATATCTTCCTGTTTTTTAGATTATGCTCATCAGGTTAGAAGTATCAAATAAAAAAAAAAGAGAATGATTTAATTTTTCAAGTCATAAGCACCACAATTCAATAAATAGGAAATGTGGTGTAACAGAAGAGTGCTGGATTTGTAATCCCCATTGGACCAGATGACCTCTATCTAAAGTGCCTTCTAACTCTCTAAGTCTGAAGAACCTGTGGATCCCCAAACAGTACATCTCATTTAAGACAAGAAATTACATTATTTTTGGCATCCTTGACTCCTCTCACTCACAGTCAAATCTTGAATTTCTATTGATACATCTCTTTCATCTGACCCCTTCTATCTACTCACAACCACTGCCCTAGATTGGTCCCATCTCTGATAACTGATCTTACTAAGGTTGCTTGGATTACCTCCTGCTGCTGAATGGAATGAAAAAAAAAATCACAAAACCCTGCAGACCAGTTCATTACAAATTTATGTTATATTATCTCAACTTGGACCTCACTGTAGTAAAACCATCCTTTTATACCTCTCTGATAAATTCACCATACCACTTGACACAATAGCTTTTTCCAAACATCATCCTCTCTCCTCAAGCCCTCTACAACATGCCCCCTTCAGGTGAGGATTTTGTTTCAAACATCACCAAATGTCACTGAGAGTTTCATCTTTTCCCCTCTTCCTCACCTCATGTAACTAAAACCTCTTCCCCCACTATCTTTTCCTTCACTTTCCTTCAGATTATGAACTAACCTTTTTCCTTGACAAAGGAAACCTCTCTACAGGCATCCCTGATGTCATCCCATCCTATGTTCTCCAGCAGACTGACCCCTCTACTACACCCACTGTCTCTCTAATCTTCAGTCTCTCCTTATCCCTGCAACCTACAAAAACACCCAAGAAACTCCCACGCCAAACAAAAACACTAAATCTGTCCACCTCTACTATCTACTGTCACGTCTCTAGTCCCCTACTTCTGAGAAAGTCATACATACTAGCTGCCATCTCTTCTTTGATCAGATTTCTGACCTCATTAATCAACTGAAACTGTTTCATCCAAATTTAAAAATGAACCATTAATAGACAAATCTAATGGCCTTTACTCAATCCTCATTCTTCTCGATCCATCTGCTGCCTTGGATACTGTTTACGTCTCTCCCTACTTAGATATTTTCCCTCTCTAAGTTATTGTGAGACTGTTCTTTCTCCTGGTTCCCCTACTTTGTGACCAATTTTTCTCAGTCTCCTTTTCTAGATCTTCATATCATACCTGCTAATTATGAGCCTCTTACCCCTAAGGAGATGCCCTGAGCCCTCTTTTATCCTCTCTAATCAGCTTTCATGGATTCAATGATAATCTCTATGCAGATGACTGATTACCAGCTCTATATATTAAGCCTTACACTCTCTCCTGAGCTTCAGTCTCCCCTTACCAACTGACTTTTGGTCAATTCAAACAGATAGCCTGAAAGGTTCTCAAACAACATATTAAAGAGAAGTCATTAAACTTTTTACCCATACCCTTCCCCCTTCTTTAAATTTCCTAATGGCAAAGGTATCAGTCACACATACTCACAACCTTAGTGTCATCTCACACAAAACCCATGTATTCATTATGTTGTCAAGTCTTATTATTTCTACATTCACAATATCTTTCCCTTATGACCTTTTCCCTTCTACTCACACAGTTACCACCACAGTGTAGGCATTCATTGCTTAATGCCTAGACTATTGCACTAGCTTTCTGGTTGATTTCTCTGCCTCAAGTCTTTCACTACTCTAATCCAACCTCTATCCAAATGCTAGCATAATCTTCCTAAAGCTTAGATATGGCAATGTGACTTCACCCACTCAATAATCTCCAGTGGCTCTCTGTTCCCCCTGGGATCAAATATAAAGTCTCTGTTTGGCATTTAAAAGCCTAACTAATTTGGCTCTTCCTGTATTTCTAGACTTCTTACACTTTACTTCCTTGCAAAAATAATACAGTGACACTGGCCTACTTGCAAATGCTCCTACAGGACACCCATCACCTGACTTTATGCCTTTTAGCTAGTTATCTCCCATGCCTGGAATGCTCTCCCTCATTACTGCACTGTGGATTCTGTGACATACTTAAAGACTCAGCTCAAACCTAATTTCTACAATAAATCCTTCCTGGTCTTTCTTCTCCAGTGCCACTTCTTTACGTATTCTGTACGTACACAGTTACTTGCATGTTGCCTCTTCCATTAGAATGTAAGGTTCTTGAGAGCAGTGACCATGTTTCTGCCTTTCTTTCTGGCCTCAGACACTAGCTGTGTAAACCAGGGCGAGTCCCTTAACTAATGTCTGCCTCAGTTTCCTCAACTGTAAATGAAAATCATAATAGCACCTACCTCATAGTTGTTGTGAGAATCAAATGAGTTAATATGTGTAAAGTGCTAAACACAATGCCTGGCACATATAGGTGCTTAATAAAAGACCGTTTTTACTATTTCCCTAAGGATGTAGCAAATGTTCAATAAATAACTGTGGACTGATCTCAGATTTGTTCCTTTCTTTCAATTTCCACTGCCACTGTCCTCAACCTAATTATTAACTCATGGCTGAATTGCTACAAGAGCCTCCCAACTACTCAAGAAGATTGGCTCTGCTATTCCCCAAATTAATCTTCCTAAGACACTCTACTGATATATCTTATTGCTCTGCTCAAAAACCTAAAATGAAGACCTGAACATCTATATTTGGTACCCTGCAAAATGATGAGAATTAAATTGTTTGGAATGAGAACACAGGGAGAGAGCAGAGAGACCATAGACAGGAATTTAAGAAGCACCTACCTTAGGTGAACAGAAAAAGAAAGAAAAGGGAAGTCACAGAAAGAGGAAGAAAACCAAGACAGTAAGGTATTATTGAAACAAAAGAAAGAGTTTGTTTCACTATACATAAGTGGGGTAGTCAAATGACACAGAGAAGACAAGGAGGATAGTAAATGAAAAAAAAAGTCACTAGATTTGACAACGAGGAAGGCACTGATGACTTTCAGAGAACAGTTCCTGTAAATTTTTTTTAAATTTTTTTTTTTTGGGTAGGCAATGGGGTTAAGTGATTTGCCCAGGATCACACAGCTAGTAAGTGTTATATGTCTGAGGCCGGATTTGAACTGAGGTCCTTCTGAATCCAGGGCCTTGTTCTCTATCCACTGTGCCACGTAGCTGCCCCGAGAACAGTTCCTATAGAGGAGCAGTGGTAAACCCAAGAGTGGAAAGAATTAAGGGAGTATAAAGTGAGAAAAGATGGATCTGTTTTTGGCTTGCTCAATAAAAAAATAAAGATTTAGTATGTGCCTTTGCCGTGTAATGGGGAAGATGCAAAGTTATGGAATACCACAGTCTGTGAAGAATTAATTAAAAGTACAGGTGATCAGAAGAGCAAGTAGTACATGGAGTACCACATGGTCGGCATGAAAAGGACATGTTACCAACGAAGAACCGAACAAAGAGGAGCATATGTGGAAAAGAAGGGATGATTCCCACAAAGTGAGAGGAGGAATAACCAGTGAATTGCCATATACGCTCTTTAACATAAATGTACTATTGAGGGAGTTGAGGAAGGCTTCCATCATGTTGTGTAAGGCCCCTGTGGAGGAGTAATAAGAAGCCATGGAAGCACCGAATGAGAAATAATGAATGAATTAAAATCTGTGTTGCCAAAAAGAATACCAACTTCATACAATCTCATAATTACTGAAATATCAGGGTAAGCATTTTATAGAAGATTCTGGTATAATAGATTATGAACTATGAATGACCATGGAAATCATCTATTCCAATTCCCTCATTTTATAGAAGAGGAAACTGAGGGCCAGAAAAGTGAAATGTTTTGCCTAGGTCATACAGATGACCTAGCCACAAACTGGACCTCCAATAAAGTCCATGTCCCCTTGTAAACTACATAAAATATATCTTAAAAGTGTTTTGATGATCTAGCCTCAGATATATTGTCCCATTAGAGTATAAACTCCTTGGGGGCAGAGACTACCATTTGTCTATACTCAATGCATAGCACAGTATCTGATGCATGGCAGACATTTAATAAGTGTTTATTGACTAACTGAGATAAAATAATAGGTAAGCTTGAATTTATAAATACATAAAAAATGGGTAGCCTAAGTCTGGAACCCTAAAAAATGACAGCTTTTTGTTAAGCAATTTAGAAAACCTAGAGCAGAGCTTTCAGAACACCTTGATTATGATATGGATGTCTGCTTTTAAAGATAAGGCATATGTAAAAAGGAATGCCTTTCTTTTATAGACATAAAAGTACAAAGAGATAGTTTCTATTCTCATTTTGGGGGGGGAGTAAGGTGGGAAGGCCAGGCAATCAGGATTAAGTGACTTGCCCAGGGTCACACAGCTAGGAAGTGTCAAGAGTCTGAGGTCACATTTGAACTCAGGTCTTCCTGACTCCAGGGCTGGTGCTCTATCACCACCTATCTGTGCCACTCTCATAAATATTAAGAGAATTAAGTAACTAGTCAACCTTTTCTTTCCCCCTCCTTTCTCACCCATAACAAAGCAACTTTTACTCAGCATTACTTGGCCAGGAGAGGTATTGCTGCTGTAACTTGAAATTCATTTTCCCCTAACAACAGCAGCAGCATGATTAGATGGAGATAAAAAACATGATTAGTATTACATATGATAAGCTTTTGGATAGATTAAAAAAATGGAATTTGAAATGAAATATTTTTGTTACATGTATTAGAATTTGCAAAGGGCATAATAAGCTGAAAAAAAACAAAGTATGACTAGTTATGCATTAATATTCAAAATAAGCTATTTCATCACCCTTAAGAATAAATGTGGGAACAGCTAGGTGGTGCAGTGGATAGAGCACCAGCCCTGAAGTCAGAAGGATATGGGTTCAAATACAGCCTCAGATACTTGACAAACAATTTTTTTTAAATTGCTTTGTCCCTCCTCCCATTACCTTGAGCAAATTTAAAAAGGGGAAAAAAGAAAAATACAGTCCTCGAGTCATATAGTCTAGATAGTCTCATATTACCCATGTCCAAAAAATGTGTTATTTTTTCTGAATTTGAAGTTTATTACCTATTAGGACGGCCTTGTTTTATCTTCATGCTTTTAGATCCATGGTTTATAATTGTGCTGATAAGAATGCTAAAGTCTTTCCAAGTCACTTTTCTCTATAGAGTTATCATTGTATAAATTCTTCTGCTTATTTCACTTTTATCAGCTCACAGGGTTCTTCTCAGTTTCCTCTGTAAGTGTTCATTTCATCATTTCTTCTGGCATACAAACATTCCATTACATTCAGAAATCACAATTTGCTTAGCTATTCCTTCATGACAGGATGCCTCTGCCTTTAGTTAACAGTTCATCTACTTTTAAAAGACTTCGTATTAAATGGTGATCTATGTGTTGTTTTCTCCTCTCCCCTCATTAGAATGTGAATTCTTTGAGGGTAGGGATAATGTTTTGGCCTTCCTTTGAGTTTGATGAGAAGAGCACTGAATAAATAAATTAATTTAGAAAGTACTGTCATTTTTATTGTATTGGCTTGATCTACTCATGAATACTTAACATTTCTCCAATCATTTAGGTCTTTGACTGATCACAGTGCTTTAAACAAGTTATAAGTGAGATCATTCAAAAATGGTTATGCTACCATGTGTGAGATGGCCATTGTTCTAAAAATAAAAACTTATTTGCCATTTTTTATCTTTACTATTCAACTTCAGTATAGTCAAAGTTATTTTGTATTATTTTCTACCTGTTTCATTTGTATTAGCTTTGTCACTAAATTTCTCAGGGGTTGGGACAATATAAAACAGTGAGATATAGTAAACAGACATTGGTACTGGAGCCTGAAAACCTATTAATATCCTGGCTTTGCTAATTACCACTCTTTTTTTTCCTTTTAGGCAATTGGGGTTAAGTGACTTGCCCAGGGTCACACAGCTAGGAAGTGTCAAGTGTTTGGTCTGAGGCCGGATTTGAACTCAGGTCCTCCTGACTTCAGGGCCAGTGCTCTATCCACTGCGCCACCTAGCTGCCTGTTAATTACCACTTCAACAACATAGGTAAATCTCTCAAACTGCATGGTCTTGTGCCCTCATTTGAAAAATGAGACGGTTGTTCCAGATGATCCCAAATGTGACCTCCAGTTCCAAACCCTACAAATCTCTTATTTCCTAATAGTATCGACTATAAAACTGAGCAGACAGCATATTATATACTAGGTGTTCCACAACAATTTTATTGGAATGAGTATTAGTCTGACATTTATTTATGAGTGCTTAAAAAATATGTTAAAGTTTTCTCCTTCTCACTCATGTTAACACATTATTTATAGTGTTCAATTTCAGATATTCTTATTTTATTCAATTTTACTTTTATTTACCTTTATTCTCTTTTTTAATCAATTTTAATATATTAGATAGAAAATAATGATTACACATGTGATTTCCTTGGCAAAAAGAACTCCCAAATGAGGAAACTCCTTCTACCAATGGAAGTCAGGACCTTCTCTGCAATTTCCAGGCTCAAAGGGTTGACCAGAGCACTGATTAAATGATTTCTTTAGGTTCACAGAGTCAATATGTGTCACGTCTTGGTCTTAAGGTTAGCTATCTCCCATCCCACAGCATCTCTCTTTAATAAAGCATGTTATCACTTGAAATCTCAACATTACAAAAAAAAAATCAATCAGGTTCTGATACTCAACACTTTCTCAACTCAGCCCCAGCCTTGTCTCCTCTCTGAGTAGAGAGCTAAAGGAGGAAGTGCTCTGTCTTCCTAAAACCTTCCTTTATAATGAGCTCACAACCTTCCTGTTTACTCCACAGAACAACATACTCTAGTTTCCCCTCTCCCATGCTTTTTAGCTTTCTTTTCCGAGTTATTTTCCCCCTGTAAATTGTAAGCTCCTTGAGAGCAAGGACTGTCTCTTTCTCTTATTTGTATCCCCAGAACTTAGCACTGTGCCTGGCACACAGAGGCATTAATATATGTTTATTGAATTCAACTGAATTAAACAAGTGAATGCAGCAGAAAAGTCCTAAAATTAGTGGCTGGTTTTAGAATTTAAGGACACACCTAATATGTGAATTTGTTTTGCTTGACTATTCATAATTGTTATAAGGACTTTGTTGGGGTTTGGGGGTATTTTTTTCTCCAATTTGAAGAGGAACAGGGATTCAATAGAATAGCCAAAGAAATTAAGTAAACGATAAGAGGGTCAAACTGAGACAATTTCTTTTTTAATGCAGAAGGAAGGCCAAAAAGAAGCACAAACAAGCAGAACAGTTGAGAATGCTACAGGTGGAATATATTATATACTTTAAAACTAAAAGCAAGCTATATATAATAAAGATCTACAGTTTCATGTACAATCCTTTCTGTTCTACCATGAATATGAAATACTTTTTTGGGGGTTTGTTAAGGTCAGAATAATTTTTTTAACACCATATGTTAACATACCTGTTTAATATTAGAAATAGTGGCCTCCCGAGGTACTTCCAATTGGATATAGATCCCAGTGGGCAATAAAAAATCCACAGGAATGGAGCCATCTGATGCTATCTGAGAATCCACGCCCCAAAAGTCAAGGATGTCTGCCATAGCAGGAGGCATTATAAAACTGAAGCACATTCATAACCAAGGGGCCCTAGAAAAAATAAGTAAAATTTAGCAAAACTGACTATTACCCAAATACTCAATTAAAATTTGACAAAATATTCAGACAGTCAACGTTAAATAGTTGGAGGTGTTGTGGGAAGACAGACACATTAGTGCATTATGGGAGGAACTATTAATCAGTGAAAGCATTTTGGAAAACAACTTGAAATTACACACATAAAGTGACTAAAAATAATCATAGCCTCTGATCTATACATTCTATTTATAGGCTTATCCCTCAAGGAAGTCACGGATAGGAGGAAAGTCCCATAACAGTACCTTTTTGTGCTAGCGATGCACTGGGAAAAAAGTAGCTACCCACCAACTGGGGAATGGCTAAACAAACTGTGGTACATGAATAAAACAGTACATTACTATGTAAGAAACAATGAATACGTTAACTGCAGAAAAGTTTTCTACCTTAACTGATACAAGATGAAGTAGAGTCAAGAAAATAATATACACAAGAGCTACAACAATATAAAATGGAAAGAAGCCCCACCACTCACACAAAAATCAATACTGAATATAATGACAAAGAATAAGCAAGGCTTGAATGATTACATTTGAGAAGATATCCCTTTTGCACCCTCCTGCAGGGGTAGGAGGTCCAACAAAGGTGGCCCACTACACACATTTTCAGACTTTTCCTGACATTATTGATCAGTTATGCTGATATGTTACCTTTTTATTTTTTTGTCTTTAAAAATATTACATTATGTGGAATACTCTCTAGATGGGAGGTAAAAAAGAAAGAACACTAGGGAAAATTATGATGACATTTAAAAAGACATCAATAAGAGCCTATTAAAGAGGTGGAGCCAAGATGGCACAATAAAGGCAGGGATTTGCCTATGCTGTTCCCCAAACCCCTCCAAATATCTTTAAAAATGACTCTAAACAAATTCTAGAGTAGCAGAATCCACAAAAAGATGGGGTGAAACAAATTTCTAGCCCAAGACAACTTGAAATTTCAGCAGGAAAGGTCTATTGCACCAGGATGAGAGAGGAGTGCAGTCTAGCATAGGACCTGCCAGCACAGACCAGGCCTCAGAGCAACTGAATCACTGGCAGCAATGGAGGTTTCCACTCCTCTCAGCCCACAGATGCCAAAGACTACTGAGAAGGTCAGCAGCAAAGGTCTGTCGCACCTGGGTGAGAGTGTAGCACAGTCCAAAGCAGGCCCTGCCAGCATAGCCTCAGCCACAGCAAACCAGGAGCAGGCCTTAGGAGTGCCTGAATCAGCTGCTTCCAGAGCTCTCAGACCACAGATTATAAGGGGGTTGAACAACTGGTCAGAAGGAGATTATAGGGGCCTTTTTGCTAGCACTGAGGCAGGATCGTTGTTTTGCCCATACTCGGATCCCAGTCACAGTCCTGGGTGGCAGTCCCAGGGCAAACAGGAGCACAAACATAGCAGAGCTTGCTTCCATAGTGGAAAGGGGTATCCTCCTCATAGTTCCAGGGAAGAAAAAAGTTGTTGTGGTGGTCACTCACAGATCAGAGCACAGGCCAGATGAGCAGTATATACTCCTCCTTAGATCATAATGCCATGGAAGAACTGAAAACTTAGGGGTCTCTGGAAGTAGCTCCAAAAATAGCTGCATAAAACTCCTGAAGCTTGGGACAGCGCACCCTCCATCTTGGAAGCAGAGCCCTACTTTAACAAGTTAAAAGTCAAGTAACAGGCTGGGAAAAACGAGCAAACAACAGAAAAAAACTAACCATAGAAAATTAGAACCTTTTAAATAAAAGACAGAAATAACTTCTTGGTTATTTAGTGTTACTATAGTTTGTACTCAATGGTCATCTTACAAGTCAGCAGATAAAGGCTCTAAGGGTCTAAGAATTCATATCCTCTGGAGGAAAAGAGGTAAAATCCTAAGTAGAGGTTACGAGAACTACCTTTCTCTGTCTTCTGCTATATAGAACCTTCCCCATTCTCACCCCACTTCAAAGACAAAAGGACAATACATTAAGAGTCTATTCTAGCCCCTGATAATTGTCTGCTGCCATCTCATAGGTGTAAGACCCACCCCCCAACATATGAAGTATTGAAAAAAAAAATCCCTGAGTCAATGTTAGTCTATTTACTATATCTGTAGTATACCTTAAAGTCTAGAAATTGGCTCAGGAAAATTAAATTATAAATTCAGGCTGGGAACAAACTTAATGGCACATTTGATGTTTGTTGAATCATGAAGATACTTAGGATCTAATGCTCATCTGTGCACAGAAAAAAAATCTCTGGGCTCTAAATCCAGCCAAATCACAACAGCAGGTAGCTCTATCTCTGTGAATAATCCCAGTAAATTAAAAGGTCAGCCATGGAGCAAGAATGATTCTATTTCCTGTTTTCTCTCTATCCAGGGGTACACAGAAGTTTGCTCTTACCAAAGCAATTATTAATTTTGCAATTTCCAATTACTAATTTTCAGTGTAAGTATCTACATCTTGAAAATAGGTAAGTTCGGGGGCAGCTAGGTAGTGCAGTGGATAGAGCATGGGCCCTGAAATCAGGAGGACCTGAGTTCAAATCCGGCCTCAGACCAAACACTTGGTCTGTGTGACCAAGGGCAAGTCACTTAACCCCAACTGCCTAAAAACAAAAACAAAACAGAAAAGAAAAGAAAATAGGTAAGCTCTATAAATCAGGCTAGATTTATTATTTTGTTGATTTCTAGACTTAAGAATGTGATGGAGAAAATGTTAATGCAGATTAAGGTCAAAAGTGGGTCCTACACATACTTTTTTTGGAGCTGGTGGTTAAACATTTACCAGCACAGCACTGCCTCCATCAATTCATCAAAGATCCCCAAACATGGATCCAAGAATGGAGTTAATCTGCTTTCTCACCAATTACAGCTTTAAAACTCCTAGGAATGAAGGAAACCCGATAAAACATCATTCGTACACATCAGAGATGGGGCATATTCTATATAAAAAGCCAGAATTTCATTTTTGTTGGTGGTTTCTAGATGTTCCATCCTGTTTAAAGCTGAAATGGCACCATTAGTAGGCTCCCAGACAGAGTAAAGACCACCCCCCATAAGTATGGATGCAAAAACTAGAAGAATTACCCATCTCCAGCCCTTCTGAGGCCTTGGTCAGCTGTAAAGAATAACCTTACAAATCTCATTTGGACATATAAAGTTTTTATGTGGGCTCTTTCCTACCTTGGAACCAAAAAGCCTCATTTAGAAAGGAATTTGCCATTTGATATAGAAAATAAAATAAGCTGGAGAATTTGGTCAATATTCCTTTTCATTTCAAGAAAATCCTACAAACCCAGCAAATAAAATTAATTTACAAAGCTAACCAAAGAAGGTGAGGAAGGAATGACATTTAGTATTATAATAAATTTTACAAATAGATATCTCATGCCTGCATTAGGTTAATAAGTTATATCTACAATTTGTTTCAATTAAAATTTATAACCTAAATATATAAAAAATGAGGGGCAAAAACAAACCAAGAAGTTACCTAGTTAAGGAATGTGATTTTCAGATATTCTCCCTTACCATACCCAAGAGAAGAGTTGGGGGGGGGGGAAGAACCAGAAATCAAACTTTAATAGAGAACGACATTTTGCACATAGGAGGGGACCAAAAATATATAAGCTCGCAAAATATTAGTAAGTGTCTACTATGTGCAAGGCTTTTTTTGTTGTATACATTGTAAAAATCCAGATTCTTAAAAGCAGATATCAGAATAATTTTTAATCAAACAAAAATTAAATGTACAAGCAATTCTTTCACAATTAAATAGCATGAATGAATGATAAACCAGCTAATTCATACAATAAAAACTGAAAATTGAACATTGAAGGTAATTAGCTAAAGCTCTTTTTGTTGTGGCAAAGAACTGGAAACTGAGGGGATACCCATCAACTGAAGAAGGGCTAAACAAATTATGGTGCTGAATTAAGTGATGAAGGTGATGGTTTCAGAAAAACCTGGGAAGACCTGTATGAACTGATGCAAAGTGAAGTGAGCAGAACCAGAGAACACTCTACACAGAAATAGCAACATTGTAAAGATAATTAACTCTGAAAGATTTAGTAACTCTGGCAACACAATGACCCATCACAATTCCAAAGGACTCATGATGAAACATGCTACCCCCTTCAGATAGAGAACTGATGGACTCAAGAGTGCAGAATGAAGCATATCTTTCTCCCTTTCTTTTTCTTGCTTTTTTTTTTGGAGGGGGGGTGGAAAAGAGTAACATGGCTAATGAGGAAATTTTTTTGCTTAACTACCCATAGTTGTAATAGGTTTTGGGTTTTTTTGCCTTCTCAATAATGAGGGAAGGGTGCAAAATGGAGAAAAATTCGAACTGGAAACAAAAAAAAGAATTAAAAGTATCTCTGCTTTAAAAAGTACTCCCCGCCATGAAAAGTAACTAGTTAATACCTCAGTCTAGGGAGAACTTACAGCATGAATGTGGCAGCGAAGTGGTACAGTAGATAGAATGCCAAGCCTGAAGTCAGGAAGACTCATCCTCTTGAATTCAAATCTGGCCTTATAAACTAGCTGTATGACCCTAAGCAAGTCAGTTGACCCTGTTTGCTTCAGTTCCTCATCTGTAGAATGAGCTGGAGAAGGAAATGGCAAACCACTCCAAGATCTCCACCAAGAAAATTCCAAATGGGGTCACCAAGAGTCTGACATGCCTGAAATGACTGAACAATAACAATGACCATGAATGGGGTGTGGTCGGCCAAAAGTATAACTACCAAAAGTAGGAAAACCCATCTGATCATTGATAATAAATGAGTCTTATTAGGGAAGTAAAATGACATTAACCTCCTATACATACACCTAAATCCTCCAGTATGAATTACTGGCAACAAATTCACAATGAAATGTAATTAACTTTCTTATTCCTCATCCTTTCTAGGTAATTACTATTGAAAAGGAGTCACGCTAAATTTCTGACCTTACATAAGGAACACAAATTAGCTTAAAAAAACAACAACAACAACAA